CAACAGCAGTGAAAAGGAAAATGTGTGAGGAAGGAATGTCCTGTCCCAGAATCTATGTCTGTCTGCGGGGTCTGCAGAGCACTCTGTGGGTCACTCTGGGAGGCGATCAGGTCCCCAGAGAATCCTGGCCGGGGCTTCTCCCCTAAACCAATTTCCTGACTAGATCCCCATCGCCCACCAACCACACGCAAGTCAAAAGCTTGGCATGCACTTCAGGGGTGATTATCAGCCATTCCCTCCCTTGATTGACCACCAGAGGGAGAAAGAGAGCAAAGCCGCCACCGCATCAGCACCAGGCACCGCCACCTCAGCAAGTCACTTTTAATCGACTTAAAGAGTTCTCACGTATTAGTCAAACTTAAACACCTTCCAGCGCAATTTAAAATATGTCCCAGCCCTGGCCGGTGTGGCTCGGTTGCTGGAGTGACCTCCCATGCACCGAAAGGTCACTGGTTCAATTTTCCATCAGAGCACATGCCTGAGTTGAGGGCTTGATCCCCAGTGGGGGATGTGCATGCAGGAGGCAGCAGATCAATGTTTCTCTCATTCTCTCTTACTCTCCCTTCCTCTCTCTCTCTCTCTCTCTCTCTCTCTCTCTCTCTCTCTCTCTCTCAAATCAGTAAAACATATTTTTTAAAAATATACTCCCAGATTCCCTGGAACATAAACCAGGATCTTAAGAACCCTAAAAGGATTCTGTGGACTTTCCCTAAGACTATGGGCATGGGGGTACGGGGTAGGAGGAGGGGAGGGGAGGAGGAGAAGGTTATAAAAAGACAGAGTAACCTGGATGGGTGGGAGGAGCAGCACAGGGACAAGCCTGACATGGAAACTTTTACCCCAAAAGCACAGGACCTTTAACCAGGTTGACCCCACAGCCCATATTTTTTCTCTCTGTCTTGAACCCTGAAAGCCTACTGCTTGGAACGCCATTAGGCAATTTGAGGAATGGTTCAATGTGTCAAAGGTGGGGTGGGGACGGGACAAAGAGAATGAGTTCAGCATGAATGAGGCCGAGAGAAAGAAAAGCAGCAAACGTCTGGGGCAGAGGAGAGCGAGCTGGGTAGATGGACTTCTGGAATCTATCTCAGAGAGAGCAGACACATGTGTGGCTTCTTGAAACCACTGCTCTCTAGATCTTTGGAAGATGAGCTGGCCTGGAAATCTTGGCCTGCAGCCAGCAGGAGGAGAGTGGACACCGGGGGGAAAACTCCCCAAAATCTGGCTGAGGCAATGGTGGCTGGTGAGAGGGTTAGAGTGGAGCTGTCTACTCTGGAGCTAAGGGAAGGGAGACGCACAGCCCAGGACTATATACATCAATGCACGGATCAACAGATATAGCCCTGGCCAGTGTGGCTCAGTTGCTTAAACGCCATCCCATGCACCCCCATGCTCTGAGAGGTCACTGGTTCAATTCCCGACCACCCAATAGGGTGCATGCAGGAGGCAGCTCATTAATGTTTTTCTCTTTATTCCTCTCTTTTCCTCTCTCTCTCTCTAAAATCAATAAAAACATAATTTTTTTAAAAAGAGAGATACAGCCCTAGCCAACTTGGCTCAGTGGGTAGAGTGTCAACCTGTGGACTGAAGAGTCCCTGGTTCCATTCCAGCCAAGGGCATATGCCTGGGTTGTTGGCTCAATCCCCAGTTGGAGGTGTACAGGAGGCGGCCGATCAATGATTCTCTCTCATCACTGATGTTTCTATTTCTCTTTCCTTCTCCCTTCCTCTCTGAAATCAATAAAGAAATATATTAGAGAGAGAGAGAAAGAGAGAGAGAGAGAGAGAGAGAGAGAATAAAGAGAAAAATATCCTCTTACAGAGAGGAAGAGGCAAAAATCCAGGAAAACATAGAGATGGGAAGGATATTATACACACAACAGATTTCTACATACATGTGAGGCATGAAAGGGACCGAATAACAAATGACAACCTTCCTACGTCCAAACTCTTGCCTTCCTCCCCTCGGGGGAAGGGGCGTGAGGTTAAGGTAAAGTCTAGGGCTATGGAAGGGGGAAGTATGAGAGAAGGGCCTGGGGAGGAAGGAGAGCAAAAAGACAGAGACCCTGAAGGGGCACGTGCTTGTTTGGTGTGAGATATAGAGAAAAGAGATTTGGGAGGAGCCGCCATATTGAGTGAGTCTTTGGGACAGAGGTGGAGTAATTAAGTTTTTAGGGAGTTTTATTGAAATCAATGTGGTCTAATCTCCCCATTCACCACCATCCCTCAAGAAAACCTCCAGCCGAAACCGGTTTGGCTCAGTGGTAGAGCGTTGGTCTACGGACTGAAAGGTCCCAGGTTCGATTCCGGTCAAGGGCATGTATTATACGTTGGTTGCGGGCACAGCCTCGGTGGTGGGTGTGCAGGAGGCAGCTGGTTGATGTTTCTCTCTCATCAACGTTTCTAGCTCTCTATCTCTCTCCCTTCCTCTCTGTAAAAAAATCAATAGAATATATTTTAAAAAAAAAGAAAGAAAGAAAGAAAGAAAGAAAGAAAGAAAGAAAGAAAGAAAGAAAGAAAGAAAGAAAAAAAGAAAGAAAAGAAAAGAAAACCTCCAAGAAAGACCTAGCTCAGTCTCCGTGGCTTTCAGAGCTGCATTCCATTTTTGGTGAGTGATGCTGGGAGCCTCCAGGTGGAGCACAGATGCTCAGTTGCAGTCAGGTGACCCATGCATGCAGACACAGCCATGGACATAGCCCAGTGTCTAGGAGCTGGGCCTGTACGTGTCACCTAGAGCCTCCCCAGGTGTGTAAGTTCCTTTAGAGCTCCATCCTGGCAGGGATTCCAGGTAAGAGCAAGACTCGAGGGACCTATGGTGAGACATCGAAATTCTCCCAACAGACACCACATTTGGGGTTTCCACTAACTCCATATGCCTCTGCCTATAAGTGTGTGTGTGTGTGTGTGTGTACATACAGTGCTGCATGAGGAGCAGAGATGCTGAACACAGAAGAACAGAAAACCAACTCTGCCTACACAGACATATGCTTCCAGCAGCGCCGTAGATCTGTGTATGTAAGGAAAACAAATGGAGTTAGGTCGTAATATGCAGGCTGACTAGCAGAAAGATGGAGGGCCACTTCACAGCTGCTCCGCTTTATAGGGGAATCTATAAACACACGAGATTTCTTATCCACTTATCACACCCCCAAGGTCTCACCATAAATCCTAGATGCTTCCTGATGACCGTGATAACAGAACAGAGATGCCCTCCTCTCTCTCTCTCTCTCTCTCTCTCTCTCTCTCTCTCTCTCTCTCTCTCTCACACACACACACACACACACACACACACACACACACACACCAACTTCCATGCTTTTCTCCCAAAGGTGCTTTCTTTCCTGTCCTCTCAGCCCAATAAGCTGACCTTCAGTTGCCACCTCTCTCTTGGCCTTGGCTCCCCCAACCCACGCTGCCACCTGCCGCCTGGGGCAGGACACATGTGGAACAGGTTGATGCTGTTCTCCCGGAAGTGGAGTGGGAGAGGGGTGTGGTGACTGGGGCAGGCCTACATCCTCACCTCCACAGACACATAAAGCAGCAGCCTGTCCTGGTGAGGGACAGTCACTCACTCAACCCACAGACCCAGCCGCCGGACAGGACCCAGCACCACTCCCTGGTAAGAACTTGATAACAGCAGAGAAGGCAGGAGCTGTTCGAGGGATGAACAAGAACTGGGGTGGGTCAAGAAGGGTCTAGGGATCCCCAAGAGCCCAATAGGGCTGGTTTCCTGATTGGCCTCAGGGAGCGAAAGGAGCCTGTGAGCACCTCTCTGGTGAGGAGACTGCAGGCATCCAGGCCCTTCCCAGGTAAGTCTGGCTGGCCTGGAAGCTGGTCCTGCCCCATCCTGGCCCTCCTAGGAATGAGGAGAGCTCGTGTGGCTGGCAGAACAGCCCATACATCTGTGCACTGCCTCCTGCTTCCATGACTCTCCGAAGTGCCTACAGGGGAGGTGAAGCAATTCCAGGCCAGCTGGTATATCCTCTGCCACCCACGGGGATAATTTGGCTCAGCCAGCTGGCTGCCCAGCCCGTGCACCTGGACTTGAACCTCAAAGACAGAGACCCAAGAGTATGAACCTCGGGCTCTTGCAGGCCCCACATTCTTTAGGGCTCTCTCGCCCCAGCTTGTGTCTCCCGGGGCCACATTCATTCGTTTGTTCATTCATTCTTCCTGCACACACATGCCGAGCTCCGAGTCTGTGCCAGGCTCTGTGCCTGGTGCTGCTGCTGCTGCTGCTGCGATGACTAACAGCCATTTCCTTCCCTCTGGGAGGTCCCAGCAGAGTAGGTCAGAGAGTCGGGTGAATAGATCATAACAACATGAGGTTGCAGGTGTGTTCAGAAGGACACCTGTTTTGGGGACGTGGGGTGGAGCTGTCTGAGAGGATGAGGGAAGAGATCACAGAGGAGGTGACCCGAATTAAGCTGTAAAGGATGACTAGTGACTCTAGCTTGGAAGGGAGCAGTAAGCAGAAGGGAAGCAAAGGCAAAGAGCAGTGAAATGGCTGGATCTGCGGGGCAAGCCCCGGAGGGCAGTGGCTCCCACACCCAGGAGACAGGAAGGAGGCACAGGGAGGTAAGGGTACAGGGAAGTGACTCCAACCTCCAAAACAGGGCAACTGCCTCCCCAGGCTCTCGGCGCCCGCGGTGGCTGCCCCCCTCCCCTGGCATCCCCAGTCCGGGCTGTCAGTTCTCTGGGAAGATGAGGTGGGCATAGCTGTGTGAGAAGAGCTTGACTTCCGGCCAAGTTTGTGAATAAAACGTGTGTGGATTGAGAAGAGCCCTTGACAAAGAAAGGACAGGTGGCTTCGGGCAAGCTGCCTCAGCTCTGGAGGCCTCGCTTCCTCGTCATAAAATGAAGAATCCTTTGGTTCCTTCCAACGCAGACATTCCAAGAATCCCGGCATCCTGAGGGTGATCTCTCTCTCAGCAGGGGCCTTCCCGTGGCCTGGTCTCCCGACTTGTCACCCTTCTGTCTCCCTCTGGCCCCCCAGAGACAATGACCATGTTTGAAAATGTCACCCGGGCCCTGACCAGACAGCTGAACCCTCGAGGGGACCTGACGCCCCTGGACAGCCTCATAGACTTCAAGCGCTTCCACCCCTTCTGCCTGGTGCTGAGGAAAAGGAAGAGCACGCTCTTCTGGGGTGCCCGGTACCTGCGCACCGACTACACCTTCCTGGATGTACTGGAACCTGGCAACTCACCCTCAAGTAAGCCTCGGGGTGTGGGGTTGGGGGCTGGGGGAGGGGGCCCAGGCATGAGCCTATGAGGAGGACCCCGAAGCTCCCTGTGCCCAGATGTGGTTAGGTGTCATCTAGCCCCAAGTTCTCACGGGAGGTGGGGGATGGCCGGTAGATGCCTCTCGGCCCAGCCCCTTTCATCTTCTCCCTCCTGCAGACCCAACAGACTCTGGGAACTTTGCCTTTAAGAATATGCTGGATGCCAAAGTGGAGGGACAGGTGGATGTGCCAAGGACAGTCAAGGTGACGGGGGCTGCAGGACTGTCTCGGAACAGCACCTTGGAGGTCCAGACGCTCAGTGTGGCTCCCAAGGCCCTGGAGACCTTGCACCAGGAGAGGTGAGGGCTGGCAGGGATGGGGGCTGCCAGGATGCGGGAGGGGGTAGCATGGAAAGGGTGCCTTGGTCCCCGAGTTAAAGATCACCCCAGGGGAACTCTCAAAGATGATGCTCTGGCCTATGGGTGCCTCCAGGCCACTTTCTAACCACTCCCCTGTCCTTCCACCACCTCTGGTACCACCACCACCCCCCCCATCACACACACATGAGGATGAGTGTATTCACATGAACTTGCTCTATGACCTTGGAAAAATCATTTCTGCTCTTGGGACCTCAAAATGATGGGGTTGGATGAAAATCTCAAGGATTCCTTCCTACCCTAAGACTCTATGAAATATGCTTTAAAAGATAAGGTTCTTGGCCAAAACCGGTTTGGCTCAGTGGTAGAGCGTCGGTCTGAGGACTGAAAGGTCCCAGGTTCGATTCCGGTCAAGGGCATGTACCTGGGTTGCGGGCACATCCCCAGGAGGGGGTGTGCAAGAGGCAGTTGGTCGATGTTTCTCTCTCATCGACATTTCTAGCTCTCTAGCTCTCTCCCTTCCTCTCAGTAAAAAATCAATTATATATATATATATATATATATATATATATATATATATATAGTTTAAATATAATGGACTTTTAAATATATATAAAAGAAAGAAAAGGTCCTTAACTGCTCCCCACTGCAGCTTGAGCCAGCAGTCTGCTCTCATAAATTACCTCAAGCCTGGCCCCCACACACCCAAGGCAGCCCTTGGGATTGCTGCCCCAGCAGCGCAGGGGTGTGGCAGACGCCATGCTGATGCAGGGCACCTCAGATGTGTGGTTTGACAAGGGAACTGACTTTTAAGTAGTTAAGTAGTGGTGGAAAGAAGCAGGTGGAGAGTAGGGAGGCAGGAAGGAAGGACTGGGTGCTTGAGAAATCGTCCAGTAAAATTTATATAGCTTCACTAAGTGCAACGCACCCTACTAGGTGCTGGGGTGCACTAGGACATCTTGGTCCAAGAACCTTGGGACCTAGGTGTGTGAGAAAAGTGTATCACAGTAACTAGATTTCAAGGCCAGAAGTGGTGAGTGCCATAGGAGGGGTGTGTCTGAGTTTTGTGGCAAGTCAGGGGGACTTGTAGCTGGAAAGGAGGACAGAGTTCACAGGGGACACAGCCCATGATCTAGGCCTTGAAAGAGGAATAGAAATTGGACATTCAGGGCCGAGAAAAGGGCGTTACTAAGGCACGTAGGTGAAAAATCGCAAAACTATAGGGGCCATGAAGAGGTATGAGTGGAGCAAAGGGAGATTAGGATGAGCCCAGAACATGCAGGAACCGGGTGCCAGCTCAAGGAGATGCAACTATCCTATAGGCATATAGGATATATGTGGTGTGTGTCATGATCAGTCTAACCAGATGGAGGAAGAGTGTTAGTGCACAAGAGACAGGGGTTTGAAGCAGTTGAAGCAGGCAGACCAGGCAAGGCGCTGTCCCACTGTCCATTGGAGATGTAAAGTGAGGACCTGAGCTGGGAAAAGCAGCAGAGCAAAGCGGGAGGGATGGGTGCAAGGCATCTGGGGCAGCAGAATGGACTGGACCTGCCAACCGAGTACAGGATAAGGGAGTGGGTTTTGTCAACGAAGATGCTAATATAGGTCTAATGTACAGGGGGAGGACTGTCGCTTATAATTCTATATTGTAGCCTGGAAATTTGCTAAAAGTAGATCGCAGGTGCTCTCACCACACACACACAACAAATGGTAACTGTGAGATGGACATGTTAATTAGCTTGACTATAATAATAATTTCTCTAGGTATATCAAAGCAAGTGTACACCTTAAATATATATATATATATATATAATTTTATTGAAATTAATTATATAAGAATAAAAACCCCAAGATAACTTTGATATTTGACTCAACTAATGATATTAATAAAGACATGAAGATCAAGTGTAGAAGTGTATTTGGAGAGAAAGACTGTGAGTTCCTGTTGGATGTTTTGAGTTCATGTCTCCACTGAGACCACAGGTGAGAGTGGTCAATAGGTACTTGGAGTGACTATAATTAACCACACTGTATTCTATATTTGTAAGTTGCTAGAGAGAGATCATAAAAGAGTTCTCATCACAAGAAAAAAAGTATTTGTAATTATGTGTGGTGATTGATGTTAACTAAAGTCATTGTGGTAATCACTTCTCAATGTATACATATATCAAATCATTATGTTATACAGCTAAAACTAGTACAGTGTTATATGTCAACAAGACCTCATTTTTTTTAAATGTTAAAAGTATTTGAAAATGAGCGTCTGGAGTTCAGGAGGGAAGCCAAGAGATAAATACATATGTGGTGATCAGCCACATAAAGGTTACAACTATCGGAATGGGGTGGGAGTTCAGAGAGCAGAGAACTGAGAGCAGAATCTTAGACAACATAAAATTTTAGGGCAAATGTGATGCCGACAGAATGGATAGGATTTAGAAGCCAGAAAGACGGGAGCAGAACCTGGGGCGGCACCGGGTGATCAGAAGCCAAAAGACAGCATTTCACGCGGGGGTTGCACAGCAGGGTCTAATGTTGGTCGAAGTTAGGAAAGACCTTTGAGTTTGGTAAGTGGGAAGTCGTGACTTCCATTGAGGAGTAGAAACAGGAGCCAAAGAATTTTGGTGAAGGCGGGGAGGAAGTAAAGACAGGGGTATAGGCGTTATCTTTTGACATATTTGCCAATGAAGTGAAGGAAAGGAACAATGCAATTTGAGGGAATAGCAAGATCAAAGGACATGTTTATGTATGTAGGCAAGAAGAGAGGGAAACTGCAAGACAGAGAATAAGAGATGGAGAGAAAGGCCCCTAGAAGAGATGCTGACTAAGAACAGGGAGGAAAGGGGAGGGAGTCCACCCCAGGGCCAAGGGAAAAGAGAGAAAGAAGCAATCACGAGGCTCTGTCCGGGGCCGGATGAGTGCCCAGTCTGTCTGTCAGCACCCTGGAGGTAGGTATCACTACACTTTACAAACGAGGCCACCGCGACTGAGAAGCTGCCCCGCTTCCAGCGGCGATCTGGGTTTCAACCTCGGTCTTTCCTCCAAGTCCTCACTCTTTCCCGGACTCCACTATGCCTAGCACCTGGGAATGACAGATGAAAAGGGGAGGCCAGAGCCCAGGCAGGGAGAAGCTCTGGACGATTTCCTTATGTTTCTCCTGCCACAGGAAGCTGTCAGCAGAGCACCCGTTCCTGAAAGAGATGCGAGATCGAGGAGAGAACCTGTATGTGGTGATGGAGGTGGTGGAGACGGTGCAGGAGGTCACTCTAGAGAGAGCCGGCAAGGCAGAAGGTGTCTTCTCCCTCCCTTTCTTCGCCCCATTGGGGTTACAGGTTTGGTTCTCTCTCTCTCTCTCTCTCTCTCTCTCTCTCTCTCTCTCTCTCTCTCTCTCTCTCCCTCTCTCTCTCTCACACACACACACACACACACACACACACACACACACACACACACACACTTACATTCAGCCTCTCAACAAAGGCTGCATTGACTTTGCCCCATCAGTGCCCATCCGGGACACTATCAACGACCCATTCTTTCTCCCTGTTCTTCAGGATCCAGTCCCCTGCTGGCCAGACACAAATGTGCCACATGCCACAGGGAATCTGTCAGAGAAGGGGAAACTCACAGTCATGGCATTCCCTCATGGTGCTCCCCATCTACAGGAAAGGCATCCTTATTCTCAGAAAGTTCTGTCTCATGGAGTTGACACCTAGGTTGTAAAATTCAATGTAAATACGTAATGTTCTGGATACCTCTGCCTATTTTGTATAAATATTCAAGGGATGAGTTGGAACTGGGAGTAGGAGTTAGTCATGGAAGGTTTCTTGAAGGAGGTGAGCAAGGGACAGACTGCAAAGAGGAAGAAGGAACCAAGGCCTGGATGGAAGTTCTAAGGTGGGACAGGGATGCCCAGGCTGGTGATGGAGCAGGTCTGCCCAGTTCCTTCATGTGTCTGAACCAGGAAGAGAGATACAGATCATTAGTGGGATGACCTGGGGGAATGAGCAGAAGAGCTGTGAAGCCCACTCCATGGAGTCTGGACCAGATAGAAAGGCAATCAGGGGGCACCAACAGTGAAGGGTTCCCAACTTCTTATCTCCCCAAAGACCTTCAAACAGGCCCTTCACTTGGACCCTCACCCCCCGCCCACTTCCAATGTCTCATACTTAAGATCTCTGCAGATTCACAAGTCCTCACTGTCTCATCCTAGGGATCCATCAACCACAAGGAGGCGGTAACCATCCCCAAGGGCTGCATCCTGGCCTTTCGAGTGAGGCAGCTGATAGTCAAAGGGGAAAATGAATGGGGTGAGTAGACACCAGCGTGTTCTCCGCTCAAGACAGGACAAGAATGACCTGCACCAATACTAAGACATCCTGGTCCCCTCTTGCAGCAATGCTAGGGGACTAGTGAACCAGTGTGTTGTATGATGGTCCAACTTCAAGGAATAGAACAGCAAAGGCTGCCCTGGAGAGAGAGGGGAGGGATTCCAGGTTCTGAGCATCTCCTGTGTGCTAGGCACTGCATTAGCTTCGGGGAAGAGGGAGCTGAGAGCAATCAGCTTCAAGGAGTCTGTGGCCAGTGGAGGAAACAGACCCATAAACCAGTACCTCAAATGCAAGGGGGAGAATACTGTTATCACGGGAAGGGATTTACAGTGGGGGAAAGGATTCCTTGTGGTAAGAGAGGAGGAGCCAAAGATGCAGCGAGGCATTTGAGGGCAGGTTCCTGGCCTCAGTAGAGCCCATAGACATGACACTAGAGAAAGAAAAATGGGGCAGCTGTTTAAGGTTCCTGCTCTCCTCTCTCTTACAGAGATTCCACATATCTACAACGATAACATGCAAACCTTCCTTCCTGCAGGTAAGTGAGTCTGCTTCCCGGCTCCCCACATCTTCTGCCCTACCCCGACACTATCTGCTAAAGACTCTGCCCTTAAATAGCACACACACACCATAATCCCCTGCCAAGGAGCCCCTGGTTTGGTTTTCCAAGTCCCTAAAATATCTATTCTGAACTCTAGGAAAGACAGATAAAGGCCTGTGAATACCACACAAGAGGGACAGAGAAACAGAGAGAGACTGAAAGGCAGGAGTGGAAACAATAATAAGACATGGAGACAGCGTGTGTTCTCAAATTGTGGGCAGATGAGCTAACATAGTCTCTGTGTAGGCTGTGTATGTGTATGTGAGAGATTTTTTTAAAATATATTTTTACTGATTTTATAGAGGAAAGGAGAGGAAGAGGAATATAGAAACATCAATGATGAGAGAGAACCATTGATGGGCTTCCTCCTACACACCCCTAACTGGGGATCGAGCCCACAACCCGGGCATATGCCCTGACCGGGAATTGAACTGTGACCTCCTGGTTCATAGGTTGACACTCAACCACTGAGCCATGCCGGCCAGCTGGCCTGGCTCTGAGTGTTTTTATAATGATCACTGATAAAGCTGCCTTGACAACTGCTCCAGATTAAAAGGCATGAGTAGGTGTTATGCTGACATATGTGCATTGTTTCTGTCTTCAGAAAAGCCAGAAGAGGAGAAGCTCATCCGTAAGTGTTTCCTGCCATTTCACTGTAACGTTTTTGACTTGGAATTTTAAAACTCCAGTTGTTGTTTGATTACCTCCTCCATGGGGCTGACAGGAGCATGGCAGAGCAGATCTCAGCAAACAATCATCCCTGAAACATGGCGGAAATGCCAGTAGCTTAGGGACAAGCAGTGGAAAAGGGAGGTCTCTGCATGTGATGCCCAGGTGAGCTGATGCCTCGGACCGGACCGCTGTCCTCTCCGCTGTCCTCGAGGGCCTTAGTAGCTCTAACCTATTACACACACCTCTGCAACTCCGCCCACCACCCAGCACCTGGGGCAGAAGCAGCTGAGTCAGTGTTGACAACTCAATTCAGCTGCCATTTTCCCATTGCATTAGCTTTTCTCCTGACCCATTCCTGCCTCCCACAAATGGGACAAGAGTATCCTTAAACTGGCTGGACCATCCTAGCACACACACACCCCCAATTAAACCTCATTGCCTGGCTGGGTATCCTAACCCCCCATTAATGTTTCATCCCCTGGGTATGGCTACTGTTTGAGAGGATTACATTCTTATCATTGTTTGTTTTTTGTTTTCTTCTCAGTCATCCAGGCATCTGATGTCGGTAAGGAACTTTGTGGGTTTCTCCCAAGACTTTGGAGTAGGAGAAGCATTGGGGTGGAGGGAGAAGAAGACAAGTGCTGAGTCCACTGCCAGGAAACCAATCTCTCCAAAGCAGGCTGGACATTCTCCTAGGGTGCCAGGTCTTAGGGTCAGGCCAAGGTTCAAGTCAACTCTGATCCACCTGTCTATAGACCCACCCACGGATCTCAGGAGCAGTCCCATCTTGGCCTTCACTCAGTCACCAGTCATTCTTCTTTGCCAACCAACTCAGGAGAAGGGGAGATAGACCTCCCTCCTCAACTTTTAGCCAGTCTTAGAGAAAGGGAAGTCATTTGTCTGCTGATCCCTGGTGGGGCCTGGGGGCCTGGGAGCTCAGGGAGAATGACTATGGCTTAGATGGTACTGTGGGTCCTGGACCCCTCCTCGCCCCCAGTGGCCATACACAGACACACACACACACACACACACACACACACATGCATCTCAAGATCTCAAGTCAGGGCTAATGGATAACTTCATAATTGCATCTCTTGGTCAAGAAAAAAGAAAGGGCAGGCTAAAGCTGGGAGAGAGCACGGGACCTGTGCGGGTGTGTGAAGGAGCCTGCAGGGAGAACGCTGTCTGAGTGGGGAGGGTGCCAGGTGGAGAGCCGCCTGTTTGCCACGTTTACTGTCCCCGCAGGGGAGATGCATGAGGACTTCAAGACGCTCAAAGCAGAGATTCAACGAGAGACCCAAGAAGTGGAGAAGCTGAGTCCCGTGGGACAAAGCTCCTTGCTCACGGCCCTCTGCAAACTTCTAGGAAAGAAAAAGGAGCTACAAGACCTGGAGCTTACGGTGAGGTCCCAGTGGAAGTGGGGGCGGGGAGGAGGATTGAGAGAAGGGAGGTTTTTGGTGCAGCTGCATTTGTGGGGGGTGTGGGGGGCTCTGACACTGGCAAAGGTGATCAGGGGCCAGGGGACTCCACAGCGAATGCCTTCCCCAAGCTGGCCATGTGCCCCAGGCTGCCCTGGTGCCTCTGGAGAAGGACAGACAGTGCAGTTTCCAAGGCACACTCTCCTTCCTGATGGACAGGGGAGGCAGCAGGCCAGCAGGGCCCTCTCTTGGAAGGGGACCGGAACTTTCCTTTCCAGGAAGCAAGGCTCAGGAACCAAGGAACCCCCGAGTCCAGTATTTTCAGGACTTGATACCTTGAAAGAGAAATCTGGAAATAGCAGGAAGTTGAAACATGTCAAGGGATTATGTGCCAGACACCGTGCTGGGCCCCTTCCTCGGGTTGTCTTAGTCACCCACCTTTCCCACAGCTTGAAGGGGCTCTCGACAAAGGACATGAAGTGACGCTGGAGGCACTCCCAAAAGATGTCCTCATATCCAAGGAGGTTATGGACGCCATCCTCTACTTCATTGGAGCACTAACAGGTAAGTAAGGAATAAGGCCTTCATTCATACACCCTTTTGGTGATAGGAATGAATCACTGAGTGAATTCCCAAATGTTTGAATGCATGAATAAGTAATTGAATGAATGCCAGGCAAATTATAGCAGAATGAAGTAGCTTCTACCTACATTTTTAAAAATTGGTCTCATGCCTAAGGATTCACGTGGTCACCTTGGCCAAGTGATAGCTCGAGAAGATGGCCTAATCTTGCAAACAGAGGTTGGGGTAACATATCACCAACCTCATCACATGTTATCAATCTTTGTTAGCTTTCCTTTCAGAGGTAACATCCCCTGATATTGCCCCCTGAATTTTCTTCTTCGCTCTGCAGGAAACATTCCCCGACTTAAAAGAATTACCTGGTCCTTCAGGTATAAGCTGAGACGTTTGCTCTCTTAAGAAGTCTGCCATCACTCACTAGATAGAGCGCCGGCCTGCGGACTCAAGGGTCCCAGGTTCGATCCTGGTCAAGGGGATGTACCTTGGTTGCAGGCACATCCCCAGTAGGGAGTGAGCAGGAGGCAGCTGATCGATGTTTCTTTCTCATTGATGTTTCTAGTTCTCTATCCCTCTCCCTTTCTCTCTGTAAAAAAATAATAAAATATATTAAATTTTTTAAAAAAAAGAAGTCTGCCATCAAATGCCAAGACCAAAGTAGACCCCTCGCTATGGCTTCCCTAACACTGTGTGCTGAATTTGCAGGTTCCTGTTTTCCCCACTAGACTGCAGGTTCCTTGAGTGAAGGGAGTACATATTTACCGAACATGCTCAGCAAAGGTGGCTGGCCCAGAGCAGGCATTCACTGTGGCTGGCTGGATGAATTAACGCTGAAAGGCTGGCCGTATACCCACGTGGAGTCTGTAGTTCTCTATGCACCAACAACACATGTGTCCTTGCTCTTTTTTTCAGAGTTAAGTGAAGCCCAACAGAAGCTGCTGGTGAAATCCATGGAGAAAAAGATCCTGCCTGTGGAACTGAAACTTGTGAGAATAAGCAGCAGACTCCTGGGACAGCCAGGGAGGGAGTCAGCCAGACCCAGGGCAAAGAGACAAACGTCGCCTCCTGACAGATCCATCCTGGAGGGCCTCTGTCTCATCCCATGCCCCTTCTTATTTCTCTCGTTTCTTCCTTTTTTGCTATTTCACAACTAGAGATGGAAGAGTAGATAGATGTCTGGGCGATTATCTGGGTTTTTCAGCCTGATCGTGGGAGGAGAGACAGAACGCCCTGGTTCTGCTTAGTCCTAGCCAAGTGATGTGAACTCATCTTTTAATGTCTCTGAGTAAAATGGGGCTAAAAACAAATGAGCTGCCCTCTGTACAGGGTTGTTAAAAGGTCCAGATGGGCCCTGGCCAGTGCGGCTCAGTTGGTTGGAGCATTGTCCCATACACCAAAAGGTGGCGGGTTCGATCCCCGATCAGGGCACATTGAGGTCAGGGCACTTCAAAAAAAAAAAAAAAAAAAAAAAAAAAAGGCCCAGGTGGAGTTGTAACATAACGTAATAAAAGGAGTTATAATAAGAGAAAGGTAGGCATCTGTGGTTTTTATGAGTTAGGAGAAAGGAAAAGAGGTTTCCAGTTCTTTCTTCTCATGCTGTTTTTGTTCCTCCCAGGTGGAGAGCACACTGGAACAGAATTTTCTGCATGACAAAGAGGATGTTTTCCCCCTGCAATCTAACCTGCTCGCCTCGCTTGGGGAAGAGGAACTGATCCTCACGGAGGCCCTCGTGGGGCTGAGCGGCCTGGAAGTGCAGAGATCGGGCCCCCAATACACATGGGACCCAGACACCCTCCCCCACCTCTGTGCCCTTTACGCTGGCCTCTCCTTCCTGCAGCTGCTGACCAAGGCCTCCTAACTTGCCTTTTCCGTCTGCCTGTTGCTTCCCTGACGCCTTCCCTGCCTCACTGTGCTCCGTCCTTAACATTCAAGGGCATTTCATAGCCGCCAGGCCGAGGAGGATGAAAATCCTAGCTGATCCCCCAAAATAACCAATTTCCACTTGACCAACTCTGTATCTCCTCCTGCCCCTGTAGCTCTGCTACCCGCTAAGCCCACCCGCTGACGCTTAAGTCCTCTGAGAGTAGAAACACTCAAATTTTAAAAATTATGGAACCATTTCAGCAAAACCAAAATTAATTAATTTTCTATCCCAATCCCTCAATCTTGTGCTTTTAAAAAAAATCAAGCTTTACTGGAATGAATGGAAAATATTTCACTTTGGATGAAATGTCTTTGGTGTTTTCTTTCAAGAATCTATCATAAGGAAATTCTTAACTTGTGCCAGAAAAGAAAATAGACACTGTCATACTACATATAGATCATATGTACATGAATGCTATTACACTGTCCTCAGGCCCGCTGGGAGATACTCAGAGAAGAACTATGAGGGCATAGAATGTGGAATCTAGATTCTAAAATGAGATGTCATCAAAGCCGCTTGTCTTCATAGAGGAGCCTCTGGAGTCCTCTGGACTTGGATGAAGGCCGGGGTTGGCAAACTGCGGCTCGACAGTCACATGCGGCTCTTTGGCCCCTTGAGTGTGGCTCTTCCACAAAATACCACGGCCTGGGAGAGTCTAATTGGAAGAAGTGGCATTAGAAGAAGTTTAAGTTTTAAAAATTTGGCTCTCGAAAGGAATTTCAAACATTGTCCTGTTGGTATTTGGCTCTGTGGACGAATGAGTTTGCCGACCACTGGGTTAAGGGGCTGGGAAAGGCAAAAATCCAGAGATACATTGTACAAACCCCAAACAAGAGTAAGACAACTTTCAAGTTTATTGGATAAAAATGCAGATAGACCCTGGCCAGGTAGCTCAGTTGGTTAGAGCATTGTCCCAATATGCCAATCAATCAATCAATGAAATGAATAACAAATCGATGTTTCTCTCTTTTCCTCTAAAAACAAACAAATGAATAAATAATTTTAAAATGCAAATAGGTGATTTAAAAAAATAAAAATAAAAAGATACCTGCCTGGCCAGTGTGGCTCAGTGGTGGAGCATTGACCTATGAACCAGAAGGTTGAGGTTTGATTCCTGGTCAAGGCATGCCCAGGTTTCGAGCTTGATCCCCAGTGGGGAGCATCCAGGAGACAGCTGATCAATGATTTCCTCTCATCATTGATGTTTCTCTCTTTCTCTCCCTCTCCCTTCCTCTCTGAAATACATATATATATATTGACCAACAGCTTTTTAAAAAATAAATTGTGCTATTATCTTCTGATTTCACCTTTTTCTCTTCTTGCTCTCCGTTCGAGGTGGTTGTAGGAGGAAGTGATATGACTAGACTTGCATATGGACCTGCTAACATGGATATTACAATCTCATAAAACTGCTAGATTTATACCATCCTCCTCCTCCTAAAACTTGGTTTTATTATCTTTCACCAACCTCTTTTAAAGTAGTTCTGTGGGTGGAATAATTTCTCCAAGGGCTTTGGCCCCAGGAATCAAACTCTTTCCCTTCTTAGCCACCCCTTGCCTTGATTAGTTCCCTCACTCACCAAGAATTCATGACCAACTGCCAAAGACTTTGTGTTAAGCCATCCTCCTCCATTCTGGGGCATGTTCTAAGGCCTCACTCTATTGCTCAAGGACATACTGAGTAGTTATCTGCTGATTTGATTGTTCTAATCTTATGATGTAAACATAATAAAGAAGTGACCTAACACCCTAACTATCCGGAAGGGTAACTCCGTAAAGATGAACAATGAAGCTCACCTGTTTTCTTCCTTCGCCTTCTCGCCCACCTTCAGTTACAGATACGGCGTTATGAAGAGGCTTTAATGAGTTTATTCCAGTGATGACTCAAAAGTGCTGTTATCCATTCCCAAGCCCTTCGGGGAAGGTGGATAGTTAGGGAACAACTGGTCAAGGCATGTTCCCAAAAACTGGAGCACACATTTTCCCATTTAGCAAGTGGCTGTTTAGTGCATGAGCTCCTTGGTACAATAGTATGAAAAGGGTGTGGTAAAACCCTGGTCAGAGAGCTCAGTTGGTTAGAGCATTGATTGGATACACCAAAGTTGCAGGTTTGACCCTTGGTCAGAGAACATACAAGAATCAACATATATATATATATGAGGCTAATATGCTAAGTGTCCCTCCCATCATCTGACTGGTCGCTGATGCACACTGACCACCAGGGGGCAGATGCTCAATGCAGGAGCTGCCAAGCTGCAGTGGCTTGGCAGCGAAGGTCCTTGGGTGATGCACCCCGAAAACAGAGAGGAGGGAACCCGATTCTTTGCCAGCTGCGCGATTCCACCTTCTGCCAAGGGTTATGTTGTTGCTGGGGCTCTGCCGCCCAATTCTGGTTTACTGAACTCTTGTGTTTGTGTTTCATATCCTGTATGACAGCAACTTTGCAGAGTGCCCTCTCGCACTCTGGGACCCCTGGAGGGATGTCAGAGAGCCAGTTTCAGCCCGATCCCCACAGGCCAGGCCGAGGGACTCCACCTGCCAAGGCACCCTACCTGCTGGAGAGACCCTGCTCACTCCAAAAACACTGGGGAGAGACCAGGGAAGTTGGCTCCAGGGCATGTCTGGCCCCTCTCGCCTAGTCCCACCTTGCAGGCCACCTCCTAATTAATTTTCTTTCAATGTGAAAAAATCTAGCAGTGGGTCACTAATAAATGCATAAATAAGTGGAACAACAAATCGATGTTTCTCTTTCTCCCTCTCTCTCTTTAAAATCAATATTTTTAAAATTAAGTAATTTTTTCTATATACATAAATTTAAAGCAGAAGATAGTGAAAACATATCCTCTGTCTTCTAGGACCTTACAAGACAGCTAAACTGTCTTGTGTGGTCTGACCTGGTCTAAAACTCAGGACTTCCATTTATGGAAGAGATAAAAGTTCCAAGGAAGTTTTTGTTTTGTCTTCGGAAATTAGAACATGTATCCACCTCCTGCAGAATCACTGGGCGATTCCTTTGTAAAATATGTAGACAGGACTTCTGATCCAATTTCCTTTCCCTGGGGGAGTCTCAGGCTCTCCGTAGGTACACTATTACTTCTGGTCCCTATTTCACCACAGTCTGGATGCCCACAGGCGCCCCAAGGACTCCCTGAAGCCTCTGCCAGTAGGGGCTTCCACCTCTTTCCTTCACAGCACACGGCAGGGAGCACGGCTTCCAGCAGACCGCCTTCTGCAGCGATGCGGTACCACGGCGCCCCCCAGTGCGCTAGCGCCGGGCCATACAGAGCGGACCCCACACTTGATTAAACTGGAGCGACTGTACGCCAATGCGCTCTACCCCTGTCCACCCTCCCAGGCTGCAGAGATTGTTATGCCTCATTTTCAGCGTTAGCTAAAAACCTGAAAAAAAGAATAAAAATAAAAAAGGCTGGATCCCATAGTTAGGTTTTATTTTAAGCCCAACAGCCTAGCTCCACATCCCTCTTGCGCAGCTTTTCTTCCCTCGCGCGGGACGCACGGGGCAGCCGTTGAAGGTGAGCCTCGCGGATCCGCGGACCGGGAAGGCGACTCAGCCGGGGGCAAGCAAAAAGTTTGGGCAGAAACCTGCCCGGCTACTGGTGACGTCATCACGCCCCGCGCTCCCACGGGTCCTGCGCACTCCTCCCTAGTGGAGGCGCCGAGTCCGAAGAAGCCCAGCTTGGAGCCTTTGGGGACCTCTCGTGGGCAAGCACAGAAGTGCACTCCGGAGGAGGATGGAAGAAAATCAACCTTTAAATACTGCAAAGCAAGCACCGCAAACCCAAACAGGCTCCTCCCCTCGCCTCCCTCGCCGATCCGCCCCGATCCTGCGCTCGGCTGTTGATTTCTCTCCCCTTCGTGGACTCAGCCTTCGGCCCAGCGGGCCTGGCGTTTCCCAGCAGGCCCCGCGCTGGGAAAGGGTTTGCTGCTGCTCCGTCATCGTGCGGCCCGTAGCGATCCCGCGCTCGTGTGCAGGCCCGACTTGGTTCCAGCTCTCCGCTGCGGGGATTCACGCGAGGCCCCGGCCTCAGTCCCCGGACTAGGCCGCGACCCCGTGTGCCATGAAGCAGGAGGGCTCCGCGCGGCGCCGCGGCGCGGACAAGGCGAAGCCGCCGCCGGGCGGAGGGGAACAGGAACCGCCGGTGCCCCCGGCCCCCCAGGATGTGGAGATGAAAGAGGAGGCGACGGCGGGGAGCGGGTCCACGGGGGACGCCGACGGGAAGACGGCCACGGCCACTGAGCACTCCCAGCGAGAGCTGGACACCATCACCTTGGAGGGTACGGAAGTCTGGACCGGGGACGGGCCGTGATCAGCTTCTCTCTGGGACCCCAGCGCAGCCTCCACCGCCCCTGGCTCCTAAAGATCGCCCCCCAAAAAAACTTCCCGCCCCCACTACCCTGACACTCCCAGCCCCAGCCCCAGTCACTCCGGGCTCAGGACTCCCCCTCGCCGCACACCTCCGCCCCGCCCGGCATTGCATCCAGCACTGGGTCTCCCTGGGCGTGTAGGCTCCTCCTTAGTCCTCCCCCCTAACTCACGTTTACATCCTGGTTCTGTGGCGCCCCGTGTGTACGACTGATTCCTCCAGAAACCACTGTGTGTGTTCGTGTGTGTGAAAGGGGGTCAGGAGGGCGCGTACAAAGGTTTCTGTTGTGCTGGCTACCTTAGCAAACGCCCCTGAAAGAGCCCCTTCTACCTAGGATCTTGCTTCCTCCTCTCTGTAATCCAAGGCGCCCAAACGATCCCATCTCTTTTTTCCTCTCCCTTCAAGCCCTTCCTCCTACTCTTGTTTCTAAAGAGAGAACCATAACATACTTTCAACTTTGTAGCTATCGTCTGTGAGTTTCCTAACGCCTCCCATCGGAGCTCCCTTCTCCTCCCAGTCAAGCTCTGGTTCCTCCCAGGTCACGTTTCTCCTTTCTCACTCTGAGCCTGTTGCTGTTCCCCCCAGTTTCCGATCGAGTGGGACTGGACAGTTTGCTGGGTTTTCTCTCCAGAGTGCATGAGAAACTAGCTCCGACACACCGAAGCGAGCGCAGTTATGCTTCTGGGTGGCGTTTTGAGGGGGTGAGCGTGCTGACTGCATCAGCTCCTGCTCTTAAGTAGGTTGGTCACTGGGCTCAGCAGCTAATATCCACCTTTTTACCTAAAATAATGAGAGCCAGTAGCAAAGGGGCTGCTGGCATTACCTACTAAGTATGTACGTGTTTGTTACAAATACTTCACCTTCTTATTATAAAGTAACTCGTGTTCATTGTAGAAATGTTGGAAAAATTGAGAAGTCTAAAAGTGTAGCAGGAAGGAGAGGGGGGATCAACCATGGTTCCCATTTTTTCCTGTGAATTTTTAAGCTGCTCTCCTATATAATTCAAATCGAGTTATATGTATGGTTTGGAACAGGCATAAATAATAACAGGTGATCTGGTGTGCTTTTAAGTGTCTTTCCCTGAGAGGAAGAGTATCTACTTGGTTGGGTTGTTGTGAAGATGAAGATGCTTAGAACTGCACCCAACACATGATGAACACGTAGTAAACCCTCTGTACACACTAGCTGTTATCATTATATCACGTTATTAATGTGGCCTACGCACCCTATGCTAAGTATACAAAGTTGATGAAGAAACGACTAGTTGATTGCATTTCCTTCTTGGACATTTAAGTGTGGCCAGCTTCTTATTTTTATAAATAGCTATGCAGCAGTCATCTTTTGCCCAAGTTTTTAATCTGCCTCTCTAGTTTTTTCTTCAGTTTAGAATCAATGCGCTTGAGTGGAAAGGGTGAATGTTTGAGATAGGCATTGTCCAGAAAAACTGGATTGGTTTACATTATACCAGCAGAAATGTCCTGTTTGCCCCAGAGTTGTCTTAATCATTTATACAAGGTCTTTGTAGAATAAGAATATGCATCTTTGGTCACATTTATTGCAGATATTTTTTCTTTTATTGAAATCAAATTCATCAATTGTGTGTGTGTGTGTGTGTGATTTCTCCCACTGTTTACATTTGAAAAGCCTTCTCTTATTCAGAGATCTGATATCCATGAGTTCGTTTTGTTTCTCATCATTTCTTTTTTCTTCGTATCTCCACCCCTTTCCCTACCCCAGCTTTATTTTTCTTTGGCACGTGGTGAGGTCTTAGAATCCCTGTATGGCATCCACAAGTATTGCTGAACCCTGTTAGGGCAGAAGAGGTGATTGGCCGCCTTCTGCCCTTTTGAGGGTGGGGGAAGGGAGGGATAGAAAGAGTTGGAAGTGACACTTTTTCTCTGGTCCTTCGCAGACATCAAGGAGCATGTGAAACAGCTGGAGAAGGCCGTTTCCGGCAAGGAGCCTCGCTATGTGCTGAGGGCCCTGCGGATGCTGCCTTCCACGTCACGCCGCCTCAACCACTACGTTCTGTATAAGGCCGTGCATGGCTTCTTCACCTCCAACAACGCCACTCGGGACTTCCTGCTTCCCTTCCTGGAAGAGGTGAGTGAGCCAGGCGCATCCTAAAGCCCTGTCTGTCACCTGCTGCAGCAGAGAAATGGAGGCCCATTTCAGTAGCCATGGCCCATGGCCAAGGGCACCATCCTCCGCCCTGTAGTGTCATCCTTCCGAGTGAGGGACAGGAGCTGGGAATCAGGAACCTTCCCACCAAACTCATTTCCTACTGCCCGCAACACAGACCTCTCCTCCAATCGGATCGCGTCTCCATTGTCCTAGGACAGTGGTGCGGCTCTTTGGCCCCTTCAGTGCGGCTTTTCCACAAAGTACCACATGTGGGCGCCCATGTACAGTATGATTGAAACTTGGTGGTCCATGTGCAGAAGTCGGTTTTAAGCTCTCAAAAGAAATTACAATGATTGTACTGTTGATGCTTGGCTCTGTTGACTAATAAGTTTGCCGACCACTGTCCTAGGAGAAGGTGCCTCTTTGCCTCTGAGGTTCACTATGGGGACGTGTGAAACAGAGGTCCAGAGTACAGGGTTCGGAGGTAGAGTTAAATTTGAATCCTAACCTCCTTGTGTCTCATTTTCTTCAGTTGTTGAATGTGATGGACAGATTTGGGGGCAGTGGCAGGGGAGGAGTATGTGTAAAGCGCATGGTGCCTGGCTCATAGTGAATGCCAGGAAGGAAGTTTGATCGTGGTAGTGGTCTCTCTGCCTGGAGAGGCCTCTCCTTTTCCTTTCTGGCTGTGAAATCGCCCTTATTATTCATGGCACACAGTCCAGGTCCTGACCCTTCCGCCACCTTCATCTCCCTAAAATTCTACTTACTTACAGTCTGTTCCATAGGTGTGAAAGCTCAGAAAATTCCTTGAAATGGAATGATAAAGAATCTATTGTCAGGGAAAGGGGAATAGCCGCAGGCCACCTGGAGTGTTTTTTAACCTTATATCCCTAAATTCACCCAACACAGTCACTTTTTGAGCGTGTTGCTCAGTGGTTCACATTACTCCGGTTTTGGTGACTAAAGCTGAAAATAAGTATGATACTATGTATAAGCACATATCCCCCAAAATTTCTTTTGTTCCCACACAAAAAAGGTGTTTTTTGACTCATTATTATCGATCTCTAAAACTGTATCACTTTATTAAACTCTGACGATAGAATTTGTAGTAGTTCCAGGTGTAGTGGATTACTCTCCCCACCAAGATTGTTGGCTCTGTGAGAGTCCTACAGCATCCTTTCTGTCCCCATTGCCCTCTGTGAAATTGTTACACTCTTGTAACCTTCTTTTCTATTGGATGGCCAGCCGCCTTGACTCCCTTTAGAAAGAGATCGTCAACTTCCATTTTTTATCCCCAGCACCTAGGGAAATCTTGACCTGCATTAGGCATTCATTGAATACATAGTGAGCGCTTAATGTATTTTTGGTTGACTGACGTGACTGAGCTTTTCCACGGTAACGCCTGTCCTCTCCCAGCCCATGGACACGGAAGCCGATTTCCAGTTCCGTCCCCGGACAGGAAAAGCTGCCTCAGCGCCCCTCCTGCCCGAAGTGGAAGCCTACCTGCAGCTCCTCGTCGTCATCTTCCTCATGAACAGCAAGCGCTACAAGGAGGTACTGGTTTCCGGAGTGATCCACGTGGCCCAGGCAGTGCCCGGGGTTTGGGGAGAGATGGCTGCTAGTGGAAAATGGAGACAGTCCCTGGGTTATAGCCACCCCCAGCTCTCCCTCGGGGGATGCACCTAACCCCGCAGTCAGGAAAGACCCCACAACTCCTGCAGTGGTCATTCTGTGCGCCGGGCCATGGCACCGTACCAGTCTAGTGGGTTCTTTGGGGGAAAGTTGGAAATGAGGAGGCAGAAAGAACTGTGTTCAAATCCCAGCTGTACCTTATGCAAATTAACTTCCCTTAGCTGTATGTAAAGTGGGGAAAACAATGCCTAATTTACAAGATTATTGTTGGTATTAAATAAAATAGTATATTTAAAAATAATTAGCACAATCTGTACATAGTAAGCTTTCACACTTTTCTTTAAATTTTTTATTTTTAAATATGTTTGTATTGGTTTCAGAGAGAGGAAGGAGAGGGAGAGAGAGATAGAAACATCATGAGATAAAAACATCAGTCGGCTGCCTCCTGCAGCCTAGGTATGTGCCCTGACCGGGAATCAAACCAGCACCCTCTCCATGCACAGGACGGTGCTGCAACCAACTGAGCCACACTGGCTTGGGCAGATAGCCTCTTAGGGGCCTGAACAACTCATTTTGGGTATTATATGTCACCACTTCCTCCACTTGGGACCAGCTTCTTTGTCAGTCATAGAGCACATCCAAAAAATGACAGGTCCCGCCTACCGGTATGGCTCAGTGGGTCAGAGCCTCATCCCATGCACCACAAGGTTGCGGGTTTGGTTCTGCTCAGGGCACATGCCTGGGTTGCAGGTTTGATCCCTGGCCCTGGTCGGGGTGGGTGTGGGAGACAAACAATTGATGTTTTTCTCTCTCTTCTCCTTTCTTCCTCCCTCCCTCCCTCTCACTCTCTGAAATTAATGGGGGGAATGATATCAATGAGGGGAAACATCCTTAGGTGAGATTAAAAAAAGGTAAAGGAAAGTGGTAGGTCCCACTCCTCAGTTCTCTGGGTTTTTTCCTTTCCTTGCAATTGGTATTTTAGATGTAATTCACCTTTAAATTAGAGCACAGTGGGTGTACTGTACTCTTCGGTATATTCACAGTATTGTGCAGCTGTCACCACCAGCTCCCTACAGTTGAATCACCCCAAAACGGACCACGGTACCCATTAGTAGCCATTCCCCTCGCCCCACCCAGCCCCTGACAAGCCCTGATCTGTCTCATGGATTTTCCATAGGAGAGTCTGGCATCTTCCACTTAGCATGATGTTTTCTAGACTTATCCATGTTGTAGCATGTATCTGTACTCCATTTTTAATGAATAATGTGCATGGATATAGCACACTTGGTTTATCTATTCATCGGGTGGTGGATGGACACTTGGGTTATTTCCACTTTTTGGTTATTAGTAATGCTGCTGTGAACATTGTGTGCAAATTTTTATGTGAACAAATGTTTCCAGTTCTCTTGGATATATGCCTAGGAGGGAAATTGCTCGCTGGCTCATATGATGGCTCCATGTTTAACTTTCTGAGGAACTAATTCTCTTTCGCTGCCTCCCCAGGCACAGAAGATCTCTGATGATCTGATGCAGAAGATCAGCACTCAGAACCGCCGGGCCCTGGACCTTTTGGCTGCAAAGTGTTACTATTACCACGCCCGGGTCTATGAGTTTCTGGACAAGCTGGACGTGGTGCGCAGGTACAGGGGCCCAGGATCTCAGTCCGACCCTTAGGTCGGAGCTGTGGTCGGTCCCTTCCACAGAGCTGACTTGCAGAGGGTGATAAGCTGGTAGATGGAAATGCCCAGCAGGAAATGGGGTCGTTGTTAGCATGTCCTTAACATGCCCTGCCATGGGACGGTTAAAAGAGAATGATGTGAGATGAAGAAAAACAGAGATGACCAAGGCTGGTTAAGAACTGTCCCCCCAGTCTCTTCCCTTCACCCCACATCAAGGGAGGGCTGATTGGTAGCTAAAGAGTAGATGGCAGGTTAGAAAACATTTCACTCCTCTAAAACCTGTAGTGGTGTCCTTCAGCGAGGCTCAGTGATTGACCTATGACCCAGGAGTCCTGGTTCGATTCCTGGTCAGGGCACATGCCGGGTTGCAAGTTTGATCCCCAGGGGCGAATGCAGGAGGCAGCCGATCAATGATTCTCTTCATTGATGTTTCTATCTCTTTCTCCCTCCCCCTTCCTCTCTGAAATCAATACAAACATATTAAAATCATAGCCCCATCCTCCCCACCTTCTGCATTGACTTACCCTGATTTCTCCAGGCAGCATGATACACTTGTTCATCCTGGTCATTTTCTGCCTCCCCGACAGAATCCAAACTCCGAGAGCAGAGTGCTGTCCTATCTGTGGACCTAGAATAGTTCATTAAATATTCTGTGAATAATCAGAAAAGCAGTTTGTATTGCGTTTTTAGGAACTGAGAAAGAATGAGGAGGTCAGAAGCAGTTTGAAGAGACTTGACATTTTTTTCTTTCCCTCTTGAAGCTTCTTACATGCTCGGCTCCGGACAGCCACCCTTCGGCATGACCCAGACGGACAGGCCACCCTGCTGAACCTCCTGCTGCGGAACTACCTACACTACAGCTTGTACGACCAGGCGGAGAAGCTGGTGTCCAAGTCCGTGTTCCCCGAGCAGGCCAACAACAACGAGTGGGCGAGGTACCTCTACTACACAGGTGAGCACAGGCGTCTCAGGCTTACCTGGTGCTAGAGATGCATTCGGCACTCTCGTTTGCAAGAGGGCTCTGATGGTGCCATTCTCTGGACCCACTCTCTCTCCTCCCCCCCAGGGCGGATCAAAGCCATCCAGCTGGAATACTCAGAGGCCCGGAGAACCATGACCAATGCCCTTCGCAAGGCCCCTCAGCACACAGCTGTCGGCTTCAAACAGACTGTGAGCAGCGATTCTCATCCCTTTGCTACTGGCTCATCTGATGACATTCTAGTGCTGCTTCCCGATGCAGGGCCAGGGAAGGCTCCTTAGTCTTCGTTATCCCAGAGGTGGCATCAGACGCCTGTGCACAGCGTTGTTCAGGGCACAGTAAGCAGATGCCACCTGCACCTCTGGCAGTTTACGTTCAGAGTGTTCTTGGTAGAGAGCTAGAGAGTGTCCTGATTCCTCGCACTCCTTATGGTCATCCCAGTCCTGGGCATGGACTGTTGGTAAAACTCATGCTCTTTCTTACCTGGTCCCTTCGGTGCCATTGGGAGCAGTGTGGGAAAGTGCTAGGTTATAGCATTCTGAAATCAATAAAAATATATATTTTTTTAAAAACTGATTAGGGCAGTGTGGCAGGAGAATTGGGTTGTTTTCTGTTCAGAAGTTCATAAAAAGGAAGGTTTGATTTTGGTCAAATGACTAAAGAGATCTTAAAGAAAAATGTTAAATTTTATCTGGTTTTCGAAAGATGGGAAGAATTTTCACAGAAAGTAATGGCTTTTCACAATGTGCAGAATGTGAGATTGCTTACCATACTGGACATACACTGAAGTTCCTTGTAAAAATTACTAAAAATGAATGATGAACACCCAGGCCGCGTCCACGTGCTGGGGGTAGACGTTGAAAGGTAAAGCAGTGTTTTCAAACCAGATTTCACTAGAGATGAATAAGGTTTCCATGTTTTCTGTGGTGGAGCCTGGTGGCAGGAAGAAGCAGAGAGCTGGAGTGAGGGCCGTGGACTGTGGTGAGGGAGCAGGAAAGAGGCGGAATGGTTGCTTGAGGGAAAGAAGCAGAGTTGGGAGAGCTTCCCGACCTGAGCAGAAAGGTCGAGGCCTTGGGAGAGACGGGAAGGAATGGGGTAGAGAGCACAGTAGAGAAGCTAGCTGTAGGTGACCGTGGAGTCCACAGCAGAACACTCTGGAAGCTTGTTCATCCAAAGCAGGAGCCACATGCTCTCGTGGGGTGCTCCTGCTCTCATGGCTCAGTCTGACCCCAGGATGCTTCACCAGGTCCATGGCGCCTCAGTCTGCCAGGCCGCCTTCCCAAGGAGCACAGCCTGCTGGCTGCCATGGCAGACACGTATTTCATCTCAGTCTAAGGCCAGAATCCAAGGTCAGGGGTCAGCAGTTGGATTCTGAGGGCCTTTCTTTTGCTTGTAGACTGCCATCTTCTTCCAGTGTCTTCGAATGGTCTCCCCTGTGCGTGGCTGTATCTTAATCTCTTAAAGGACACCTCATTTTACCTTAATTACCTCTTCAAAGACTGTTTCCCAGTATAGTCGCATTCGAGTTACTGGGGGGTTAGAGCATCGCCACTTCAGAGCCGTGTGTGCGCCTACTGGCCGGATGGAATGGCACAGGGCGAAGTGTGGTCAGAGGGTCCGATGTTTCCAGACCTGACTCCCTGCCCAGCTCAGGGTCAGGGATGGACTCCCTGCCCAGCGCAGGGTCAGGGATGGACTCCCTGCCCAGCACAGGGTCAGGGATGTGTCCTGTCTCCTTGGGCCTAATCACAGTGCCATGTCCCCGTTTCCCAGGATGTCTGACTGAATTGAAGCCCCATTTCATTCTCTTCCACCTGGGGGACTCCCTGCCCACTGTGTTCCCGTGTCACACTCTGCCAGGTGCACAAGCTTCTGATTGTGGTGGAGCTGTTGCTGGGGGAGATCCCGGACCGGCTGCAGTTCCGTCAGCCATCGCTCAAGCGCTCACTCATGCCCTACTTCCTTCTGACCCAAGGTGAGCCAGTGCCCTCGCAGCGCTTCAGACCCATGGCCTGTGGCCTCTGATGTGTGTGTCCCCTGCATCCGCTGACCCACTCCTCTTCCTCCCTGCAGCTGTCAGGACAGGAAACCTGGCCAAGTTCAACCAGGTCCTGGATCAGTTTGGGGAGAAGTTCCAAGCAGATGGGACCTACACCCTCATCATCCGGCTACGGCACAACGTCATTAAGACAGGTGTGCACCAGGAGGAGCAGGACCCAGGGACGGGGGCCACCCTGTGGGTGTCCAGGGCGGTGAAGGGCTTGTGCTCTGCCCACCCTGCCACTCCTTTCTCTCCCAGGGGTGCGCATGATCAGCCTCTCCTACTCCCGAATCTCCCTGGCTGACATCGCCCAGAAGCTGCAGCTGGACAGCCCGGAGGATGCCGAGTTCATTGTTGCCAAGGTGGGCTTGTCCAGGGGCCGCGGCTGTCGCCTTCCTGCCTCATTTCAGGGGATGGGGTGGGCGGAAGTTGGCCAAGGAGGGGTGTGGGTAGAGCAGTGGCCTCCTTTTAGGGGTGCCAGTCTTGCAGGAAGCAGCCAGAGAGTGTGCGTGTGAGTGAATGTGTGAGAGTGTGGGGAAGACAGAGATGGGACAGGATGTTCTAGGACTTGGAGAACGGCGGGCTCTTTGGTGACCGTCCCTCCGTTGGGGCCGCAGGCCATCCGGGACGGCGTCATCGAGGCCAGCATCAACCACGAGAAGGGCTACGTGCAGTCCAAGGAGATGATCGATATCTATTCCACCCGTGAGCCCCAGCTCGCCTTCCACCAGCGCATCTCCTTCTGCCTAGACATCCACAACATGTCCGTCAAGGTAAGGAGCACCGGCTGCAGGCGCCAGCTGGCAGGACACAGCCCTTCACACATGGTCTCGGGGAAGATGGGTGTGGGTGGGCCCCAGTTCCCAGCCCGTCTCTGTAAATCACCGTGAGGACAGGGGCCTCAGGGGACCCAGAACTTGGCTCAGGGGGCTGTAGCAACTCTTATTGCTTTTAAGGGGTCTAGCTGCGGAGGAGGACAGAGATTCGCAGTTTCGGGTTCTAGATTTGGTTCCAAATTGGAGTCATTTGCCTTCTCTGAGGCTGTTTCTCCGCCAGTGAAGCGGATAGTGAGATACTACCGTGTTTCCCCAAAAATAAGACATCCTCCAAAAGTAAGACCTAGCGCATAGAAAGATAAGACATCCCCTGAAAATAAGACATAGCACAACTTTAGGAGAAAAAATTAATATAAGACTGTCTTATTTTCGGGGAAACGGTACCTGTCCTGCCTGCTTCACAGGGTGATGAGATTAAATGAAATCACCGTCTTCAGGCACTGAGTGAAGTCCAAGTTGTGTAAAAGACAGGCTGGTATTTGTCCCACAGGCTGGTATTTGAGCCCTTATCCTGTGTCAGGCACTGAGTTAGGCGCCTGTACTGTTGGCTTCTATTTGTTCCTGGTCTTCCAGCTGGAATCCAGGGATATCACTTGCCTAGCTTACAGTTGGGCAAAAGCCATGCTCCGACACCCACTGTTACCCCCCTTCTTTCCCTCTGCCCCTTCCCTTTTTTCTTTTTCTTTTTTTTTTTTCCTTCTGTAATCCTCACCTGAGGATATATTCCCATTGATTTTTTAGAGTGAAAAGGAGGGGGGAGAGGAAACTTCGATGTGAGAGAGACACATCAATGGGTTGCCTCCTGGCCAGGACCAGGACTCAAACCTGCAACCCAGGTACATGCCCTTGACCGGGAAGAAAGCCCACTACCCTTCTGGGTACAGGCTGTCCCCTAACCACTGAGCAACAGCGGTCAGGCCCCTATCCTTTTCCTCCCCCACTGAACTCAGGACAGACCTCTTCACACATTGCATCTTCTGTCCGGACTGCGTCTCCTCATTCCCACAACCAGTCCGTTCCTCCTCCCCCCCTCACTGCTGTTCCCCTGCCTGTCCAACCCAGAGGTTAGTCATTTCTACCCCCGAGTCTCCTCGTTCTCTCTAGCATTACCACATGGTGTTGCAGTAACTCATTCCATGCCTGGCTCCCCGCTATTCTAAACTGGAGGCTAACAGCCTGCCTCGCTGTGTCTTGGTGCCTGGTACACGAAAGTAAATGTGTGTTAACACCTCCACTTCATCTTGCTCTCCTCTCTTTACTCCGCTTCAGGCCATGAGGTTTCCTCCCAAATCCTACAACAAGGACTTGGAGTCTGCAGAGGTAAGCTGCCTTCTGCGGGGGAAGACCGGAGGATAGAACTCCCTTCAAAACGGAGGGGGTTTCTGAGGGTCGGTCGGGGCAGCTGTGAACCAGGCAGATCCTGGCCGGGGGGGGGGGGGGGGGGGGGGTCTGCAGGAGTGAGAGAGGCCGCAGCCCTCACGCCATCTCTTTGCCCAGGAACGGCGAGAGCGAGAACAGCAAGATTTGGAGTTTGCCAAGGAGATGGCAGAAGATGACGACGACAGCTTTCCTTGAGCTGGGGGGCTGGGGAGGGGTGGGGTGAGTGGGGACTGGCTCTTTCTCTTTTCCCCTTGGGGTCCCCTGCCCAGGGAACTGGCCCCTTTTCCCACACACAGCTCACAGACTGCGTGTTGTGGGGCGGGGGCGGGGACGTAGAGAGCCAGCCACCCCCACCTCGCCCCAGGGCCCCTCCCCAGCCCATGATTTAGCACACGGAGGGCCAAGGGCGGGCAGGTGGCCTCCCCAGGGCAGGGTCCTGGCTAGTGGTGTGGGCATCGAGGTGGGAGGGAAAGTCCTTCGGGGAGCAGAGGACTTGAATTGGGACACGGGTTGGATTGTATGTTTTTGAAGCTTCAATTATGATTTTTAAACAATAAAAAATTCTCCAAAGCTCTTTGTGCATCAGTTAATGGCTGGGCTTGCTCTTGCGCCTGCAATGTTGACGGCCCAGGTTTTTCCTTTCTCAAGTGTGATCGGAGGACCGCAGTGGAGATGAGGAAGGCCAGGGCAGGGTGAAGAGACAGCTGGGTCAGAAGGCCCGGGCTTACTCTGTTTCGTATCTAACTGGCTCTCAAATACTGGGCAGATCCCTAAACCTCTCAGTCTCCTTTCCCACTTCTGACGGGATTCGATTTGGGATCTAGGAATCTAGACTTCCAGGCACCAGAGGGAGGGCGAGCCTGACGGGGGGGGGGGGGGGGGTCTCTTCTAGGCAGCACAGGCTGAGAGCAGAGGTGCGGCTGGAGGGGCTCCCTGTGGCCCCAGCTCCCCTCCCAGCTGTGGGTGTGGGGAAAGGCCAGCCCGCGTCTCCATCTTCCTGCCGCCAACAGGAGGGCTCCCGTGGGGCATTTGAGTAACTCCTGTGTTCTCCGCTGGTCCCTGGGTCATCTCTGCTCATACACACTGTTCCTGCCAAGTTCTGTCAACTGCACATGCAGTGGGGTTACTGCCTCCTTAACTGAATTCCTGTCTGCGTGCTCACCCTGTCTCTGGAGGGATTCTGTACGCAACCCCTGGGTTCCCCAGCCTCTCACCCCCTGGCTTCCAGACCCCTCGTAATCAAGTAATTCCTGAAAAGGGAGGTGGTGTGAGAGCCTTCCCATCTGGTTTGTGAGCTGTTCTGAGCAGGGACGTGTCTTCCCAGGACCTCCCTAGTGGAGGGCACTCTGGGCTCAAGAAAGTCTTGTTTGTTGGAAAAGGGACATTGTGTTCATCCCCTAACATCCCTATTTTCCATGAAAGGCATGTTTTAGGTGCCTGGCCTTGGCGCCTGGTCCCACCCAGTCTTGATCAGTGCTTTGGCCTCGATTTCCTTTATGCTTCTGCCACCTCCCCATGTACTCAAGTTCAAAAACGTTTGCTTTGTGAAATGCCACTTCCCCCAATGTCTGTGGAAGATGTTTTTTGTTTTTGTTGTTTTGAGAGAGAGAAACACAAGTGCCCTCATCAGACACTCAAAAAGGAAGTCACTTTCCGAGTGACTGATTGCCTCCGGCACACACCCCATACCAGGGGTTGAACCCACACCCTGAGTATGTCCCCTGAGCAGGAACTGAACCTGCCACCTTTTGGTGCTTGACAGGATATTCCATCTGAGACATACCGGCCAGAGCCCAAACTTTCATTTTAAGGATTCTAATCCTTTTCCCCATTTTACCTGCCAATTCAGAAACCTAACAGACCTTTAATCCCCTCCCAGGAAGAAGGGGGCGGAGGACTAATGGTGAGCACCGGCATGTCCTTCCCCAATGCCGGATGCCTGGCCGGGCTTAGTGGGAAGTGAACTGCCTCTCGAGATGCCAAGATCAGGCTCCCTCCATCAGGCTGCGCTGCGCTGCCTTCCTCCAGCTTGTCTGAGGCTCTAGCAGCTGGTTGGTTAGTTTTGTCCTCATGAGGCTGTCCTGACCCTCAACCACTTGCCCCGACCTCGGAAAGTGACTTCCTTTTTGAGTGTCTGATGAGGGCACTTGTGTACAGAGGACAGATGCAGCCCCTGAGGCTTTCTTACTTGCTTAGCATGTCTCATAGGAATTAAAAGTCTTCCTGATGAGCTGAAACCAGTTTGGCTCAGTGGTAGAGCGTAGGTCTGCAGACTGAAAGGTCCCGGGTTCATTTCCGGTCAAGGGCATGTACCTTGGTTGCGGGCACATCCCCAGTAGGGGGCGTGCAGGATGCAGCTGATCGATGACTCTCATCGATGTTTCTAACTATCTCCCTTTCTCTCTGTAAAAAATCAATAAAATATATTTTTTTAAATAAAAATAAATTAAAAAGTGACTAAAAATTTTAAAAAAATAAAAGTCTTCCTGATGATGCCCATCCTCTCAATTATTTATAAATCTTAAACTCTGTGCCTGGCCCAAAGTGCCTCGGACCCTTTCTTTACTTGGTAGCGGATTGGAGAGGGTAGACTTGAATTCATTTGACATGATGTCCTGGGTTTTGCTCACCTGTGTCTGCTCCGCTGTCCGGAACTTCCTTCCGTAATTCATCCCCATCAGCTTGGCTTTTTCCCCGGGGAGGAGCAGTCATTTTTATGCTTGGAGCGCCCTTTGTGTTGTCCAGCTTCCAGTTTTGTTTTTTTAATTGGAAAACAACAGAGAAATACAAAAAATGACATAACAAATACCCACGTGAGCCATGCCAGCATGGCCATGGGAGAACCCGAGGGGGTCGCCCTCTCAGATGAAGGATTGGAAAAGACAGACTAGCCGGGACCGGTTTGGCTCAGTGGATAGAGCGTCGGCCTGCGGATTGAAGGGTCCCAGGTTCGATTCTGGTCAAGGGCATGTACCACCTTGGTTGCGGGCACATCCCCGGTGGGGGTGTGCAGGAGGCAGCTGATCAATGATTCTCTCTCATCGATGTTTCTGGCTAACTCTCTCTCTTCCTCTCTGTGAAAAATCAATAAAATATATTTAAAAAAAAAAAAAAAAAAAAAGCCGGGACCGGTTTGGCTCAATGGATAGAGCGTCGGCTTGGGGACTGAAAGGTCCCGGGTTCGATTCCGGTCAAGGGCATGTACCTTGGTTGCGGGCATATCCCCAGGTAGGGGGTGTGCAAGAGGCAGCTGATCGATGACTCTCTCTCATCGATGTTTCTAACTCTCTATCTCTCTTCCTTCCTCTCTGTACAAAATCAATAAAATAAAAATAAAAAGAAAGAAAGAAAGAAAAAAGAAAAGACAGACTAAAAGAATAAAGCTGGGGCGCCGCCCTCTCAGATGGAGAGATAGCGCCAAGAGCTGTAACCTGAGTCTGTATTTTATAGCCAGATTCCACCAGGCAAAGTAAGGGCGTGGTCAAGATGTTTACAACATTCTCCTGGGTTTGGAATCTACTTAATTACCTGCACTTGATCAAGGTTTGTTTACTTGCTGCCCCTCCCACAGCCCATATCACTCAGGCGCGTGGGACCACGGGTTCGGACCATAAGGTCAAGCTCACAGCTACAGCCCTGGCTGTATTTGTGCTGGGACTTGCACGTGGCTTTGCCACGAGAGGATCCTGCTCTCTCATTAGTCTGAGAACCTGTCCAAACGCTGGAGCTGCTCTCCACACCCGTGTACTTTCCACCTGCATTTAATAAATATTAGCATTTTGTTATTGTGTCAAGTTTTTAACCCAAGAAAAAATATTGCCAATGAATTGGAAACCCATCTTGTTCATTCCCCAGGCCCTTCCCTTCCTTCCCCAGGCAGACACTGATGGATTCAGTGGGTAGCCTTCCAGCTTCTGTTCTTACACCTTTGCTACAAAATATAGTATTGTTTTGCCCTAGACCAGCGGTTGGCAAACTCATTAGTCAATAGAGCCAAATATCAACAGTACAACGATTAAAATTTCTTTAAAAAAAAAAAAATATATATATATATATATATATATTTTTTTTTTTTACAGAGAGGAAGAGAGAGAGATAGAGTTAGAAACATCGATGAGAGAGAAACATCGATCAGCTGCCTTCTGCACACCCCCTACTGGAGATGTGCCCGCAACCAAGGTACATGCCTTTGACTGGATCGAACCTAGGACTCTTCAGTCCTCAGGCTGACACTCTATCCACTGAACCAAACCAGTCAGGGCTAAAATTTCTTTGGAGAGCCACATTTTTTAAACTTAAACTTCTTCTAATGCCACTTCTTTAAAATAGACTCACCCAGGCCGTGGTATTTTGTGGAAGAGCCACACTCAAGGGGCCAAAGAGCCGCATGTGGCTCTCGAGCCGCAGCTTACCGATCACAGCCCTAGCCAGTTTCGCTCAGTGGATAGATTTGGTCTGCAGACTGAAGGGTCCTGGGTTCGATTCCGGTTAAGGGCACATGCCTGGGTCACGAGCTCAATCCCAAGTGAGGGGCGTGCAGGAGGTGGCCGATCCATGATTATCTCTCATCAATGGTATTTCTACCACTCTCTCCCTCTCTCTTTCTTCCTCTCTAAAAATCAATAAAATAAATGTGGTATTGTTTTGAGTCTTTAGATCTTTGTAAATGATGTATCGCATGAATGTAACTTGCTCTTTTCACTCAGTATTGGTTTTGAGGTCTGAGCATATTGATAGGAGCCCAGCACTGTCCCAGGCACTGAGAATACAATGGAATAAAACTCCTTTCCTCTCGGAGTTTGTCAGGGGGTGGCATGGAGGATGTGGACCACAGTTTATTCAGCCTTTCCCGTTACAAGCCATGCTGCAGAGAACATCTCTGCCTGTCTCCTTGCACACGTTGCCGTATACATGGCGTGCAAGCTTTCTTAAAGAGCCAGATAGTACATTTTTAGGCTGGTGAGCCATATGGTCTGTGACGATTACTCATTTCCTTCCTTCTTGAAAGCGGCTATAAACAATATGCAAATATGTTGTCTATGAGCACTGGGGGTTGAGTTTCATACAATTTTATGTGTTATGAAATATTATTTTTCCTATTACCCCCCCCCCCAATCATTTAAAAATGGAAAGCCCATTCTTAACTCAGGGCGTAAGTACATTGGCCCACTGACTAACTGCAATAAATGATTACTCCGGAGCCGGTGTAATCACAGATGCTCTGCACCCGGTGCCAGACGAAAGCAGGAAGGATGAGGAGGGGACGAGGCTGCCTGCTCCAGACACTGAGAAATACCTGGGAAAGCCTTTGGGAAGTTGGAAGGATGGGTAACTCGGGGTCTCTGGAGCCAGACCCTTTGTCATATGATTGCTTGGGTCTAGCTCAGCCTGTGTGTGCCATGGCCAGTGACAAGCTCTCGCCTCTCTCCCCTCTCTCTACCTGGTCTTCCTTCTCCCCTGAGCTGGGCAGGAGTCTGGATCGAACCGTTATCCATCTGAGCAGGAAGGTGACGTGATGGGAGCCACGGGGGCTTGGGAAGCAGGTCTGCCTGGCTCTCCCCTGACAGTGACCTTGGGCAAGGCCCTTCGCTTCTCCGAGGCCACCCCTTGTCTGCAAGAACAAGCCACATCCTACCGCCAGATTGATCAGATGAAATGACAAGTGTAGCCCAGCAGCGTGGCTCAGTGGTTGCACGTTGACCCATGAACCAGGAGATCACGGTTCAATTCCTACTTAGAGCACATGCCTGGGTTGTGGGCTCAATCCCAGTAGAGGGCATGCAGGAGGCAGCTGATCAATGATTGACCTCTCTCTCTCTCTATTTCTCTCTCTGAAATCAATAAAAAAATTATTAAAAAAAAAAAAAAAGAAAGAAAGAAGAAATGATGAAAGTGTAAGAGAAGGTGCCTGACATAATTGCCAGCCAGCATTCAGATTTCTCCCTATGGGATGGATGACCTGACACTTCCTGGGACGACAGCTCATCACTTCCTCTGGAAGCAGCCCACTCCATCTTTCAGCATCTCACACCGTTAGAAAGCACTTTCCTTCTGTTGAGCTGAAAACGGGCTGCGGCCTTCACTTCCGGTCCCTTTCCAGCCCCGAGACCACCCAGCAACCCCTCCTCTTCCCCAGGTGAGAAAGCCTGTTTTCTTTCATCATGATCCCGAGTCCTTTCACCATTCTGGCCACCCTTCTTAGAGTCACATGATTTTCTGAACCAAACATCTGACACCTGGACTGCAGGTGCAGATAAAAGAAGTCATGAGTGAGGGAGGCCAGACGCTGGCTAAGAGACCTGATGGTTAAGAGTTCTGCTCCTTGGCAAGCTACTTAAGCTCTCGGAGGTCCAATTTGTCTTCTGCAAAAGGGAGAAGGGCTTATGGAGAGGAATTGGACGATGTGTAGCGTGCTCTGCTCACTCGGCACACTGACCAAGGCAGGCTGACCCCTCCGGAGGTTTTAGGGGTCGCGTTTGTCAATGTGAGTTCCCAGCCCTCCCCCCTCCCCCCCCCCCCCCCCCCCCCCGCTATGGAGCGGGTGCAGCCAGTGGCAGAATGCCTACGGGAAAGTGGAGGAACAGGCTCCCCGAGGCAGGATGTGAACAGATCAGCAGGTGAAGACCCTGCCAGCTATGACCACCAGGGGGCACCCCTGTTGCAGAAATGACCTCACCCAATGAGACACACCCACTCCTCAGGTGAAGAGGATGCCTCTGCTCCCAGGCACATTTCAGAGAAAGTTGGGACAGAAATGGACAGAAATGGACAGCCGTGGTGTGCCTGGTCAGACTGCCCTGGGTAGGCCCCTCGGCCTAGGGAAAGCTCTCTGGCCCAAGGCAGAGGCCCCGGTTGTAAAACATGACCCGTGACAAGGAGCTTCCCTCTCTGGCCCAGTTCACAGGGCAGATCTGCGTTCTGCTCCTTGGCAAGACACCTAAGCTCTCTGAGGTCAGATGTGTCTCCTAGGCTCCTTCCAGTGCCAACATGGCATGGTCTGCGGATTCAGAGCCAGGGAGCTCCTTTTTCTCACCCGCAGCCCACTCCACCTCGGGGCAGCACCCGGGCTCTGGCTGGCAGTGCACCCGGCCTGGGAAGCCACGTGTCCCAGACCCCAAAAGCCCTGGGACCCTGTTCGGGGAGGGAGGTGCGGGAGGAGGAGGAAGGGCAGGGTTAGGTGAACCCAGAGCCTCGAAAGGGTCTTGCTTCATTCAGGACAGGCATCCGGTTTCCTCTGGTCTCTGCCAGGATTCCAGGGGCTTAAAGGGATGAGTCATGGGGGGGATTGGGGAGTTCCCAGCTAATCAGTGCAGGCAGGAGCCTGGGATGCTGGCCATCAAGCCGTGCAGAGGGTCAGGAGACAAGACCCTAATGTTCCTAATCCCCGGCCCCTGGGCTCTCGGGGGAGGATTCCGGAAGGCAGTGGGCGTTTGGGGGTAGAAATGGGGGCGACTAGCTTCTCCCCTCTCGGAATGTAGGTGCAGAGAGCAGGTGGCTTGATTATCCCACGGGAAAGTGGCAAAGGGAGCTGCCCCACAGATCTGCCAGGAGAGAGGGTGGGGCTGCCCAGAGGTCAGGCTCCGAGCAGTGTGACCCGACTCCAGCCTCCAAGGCTCAGGCTTTGTTCAGGGCTCTGTTCAAACACCCCGCGGCAGCTCGGGCCTGGGTGAGGCAAAGGGGAGGAAGAGAGTGTGAGGGGGCACCGACGTCAAAGGATCTGGGATTCCACAATTTCACAAAACTTTCGCAAACAGCGTTTTGTCTCAACCCCCCCTCGTTGTTGTCCTAGACACTAAATTTGCATAAATCCTGGGAAGTTATTACTAAGCCTTAGTGGCAGGTATTTCCTCCCGGGCCTCCATGGGCTGAGGTATAAAGATCCTCAGAGCTGGTCCCGGACAGAGCCCGAGCCTGCAGCCCCAGCCAGACTCTGCTGACCCGCTGCACAGAGCCCATGAAGCTGATGGGTGAGTGTCCTGCCCAGGATCCCGGCGCTGCCTGCCTGGGGCAGGGGAGGGGGGTTGGAAGGGTCCAGGGGCTGGTGGTCCCTAAGTCCCCAGATCGGGGCGCTGGTGGGAGCGGATAGGACAGCTCCTGAGCCCCGTCCCCCCGCTCCCAGCCCTCCAGCTGCTCCTCTGGCACAGTGCACTTTGGATGGTGCACGAAGCGACTCCCCTGGGCCCTGCCCACTACCTGCCCGAGACCTTCCTGCTCAAGTGCTTAGAGCAAGTGAGGAAGATCCAGGCGGATGTCCTGGTCCTGCAGGAAAGACTGGTGAGTGAGGGGCTGGCGGCGGCAAGGAGGGAGGGGGCACACACACGCTGCCCAGCGGGGGTAGGGGCAGAGGACCGAGGAGACCGCTGAAGGAGGGGAAGGGAAGTGTGTGTGTGCTTGGGGGGTAGGGGCATCAGGAGGGCCTGGGAGCAGAGAAGCACGGGACAGGGAAGGAAGGTAGCAGAAGGGGAGCCCTGAAAGGCGGGAAGAAACGGGGAGAGAACCTTGGGGACCGAGCCAGGATGGAAGTGGAGGGCAGGATGGGCTGAGGAGTCTGGCAGGACATGGAGGCAGGGGGACACCTCAGAGAGATTGGGGGACAGCTTGGCTCTATTAAGTCCCCCGCACTCAGCATCCTTCTCGTCCCCAGTGTGCCACCCACCAGCTGTGCCACCTCGAGGAGCTGGTGCTGTTCAGGCACTCTCTGAGCATCCCCCAGGTGCCCCTGGGCAGTTGCTCCAGCCAGGCCCTGCAGCTGGTGAGTGTCTGAGGAGGAGGAGGGCGGGGAGGGGAAGGGTGATCTGGAAGGTCCCCCACCTCCAGGCTCCAGGCTGGGGCCCTGAGGGGAGCGTCCCAGCAGCACCCCCTGACTCTCCCTCTCCGTCTCCCCAGACAGGCTGCCTGGGGCAGCTCCACAGTGGCCTCCTCTTCTACCAGGGCCTCCTGCAGGCCCTGGCAGGAGGCCCCCCCGGGGTGGGCCCCACCTTGGACGTGCTGCAGCTGGACATCACCGACTTCGCCACCAACATCTGGCAGCAGGTGAGCCTGGGTTGGGAGCGGCAGGCGTTAGGGGGGACCTAGACCGAGCTGGTCCCTAAAGGTCGTGCTGGCAACCTGGGGGGTGAGGGGCTGTATGTAGGGAGCTACCACCCCATCCCAGGACCCTCCTGCTGCTGGCCTTCCCACGCTCCCCTAGTTGAGGGCAGGAATGGGGTCACTGGAGCTCCGAAGAGGCCTGGGTTCGGGCCCCGGCCTCCGTCTCAACCATGTGCTCGTGATCTGTGGTAACCATGCCCACTCGGCAGGGCGCTGGCTAATCTTGTCCTTCCCTCCCCCCCGCCCTCCCGCCAGATGCAAGAGCTGGGGATGGCCCCCGGAGTGCCGGCCACCCAGGGCACCATGCCCACCTTCACCTTCACCTTCACCTCGGCCTTCCAGCGCCGGGCAGGGGCCTTCCTGGTGGCCTCCAACCTGCAGGGCTTCCTGGAGCTGGCGCTCCGTGTCCTGCGCTACCTCTCCTCGGAGCCCTGAGCGAACCCCCTCCCCCCCAATGTATTTATCGCTATTTATTATTTATTTAAACCTAATATTTAAAGACAGGGAAGAGCGGAACAGAGTCTCCGATTCCTGGGCCCTTCCCTCCACCTCCAAGTGTCGTTCTGTCTGTGGCAGAGAGAAAACTCCTGACCTCCTGTCCCCGGACTGGGAGGTCGTTAGGTAAATACCAAGTATTAACTCCGATGGCTGGGGTGGGCACCGAACCCCCGACCCCGAGGGTACCCCAACTCGGGGCCCTTGGAAGCATCAGAAACTCTCCCGCGTGGGAGACAAGACAGCCTGTTTAATATTTAAACAGCCGTGTTCGCAGCTGGGGCCTCGATCCCTCTCTCGCTCTGGCTTTGGCGTGGCGTGCAAACGCCAGGCCTTCTTCCCCTCCCGGCTCCTCCCCACGGGCGTGAAGCCCAGCGGAGGCGGCCTGAGCTTGGAGGCTTGACCCTGCGGTCCCACAAGTTTGTTGGGTAATCTAATTTTTCTTAAGACTTTGGGGGGCATGTTTTGATGCCCGTGGGGTGTCTCTTGTTTTTTTCTGGACGCCCTAGAGAGACACCCATAGGCTTGGGACACCACCCCCACCAGGGGTACTGCTCTGCCTCCTTTTCGGGCTGTGCAGACGGTGGTGCACCTGCCTTGCTGTGTGGGCATGGCAACGTGGGCGGGAAGAGGAGGGGGATTATGGGATGGGTGAGAGGGAAGCTCAACTGTTCACCCTCAGCCTCTACTTGCTTCTTGTAGCCAGACTTCATGTTAATAAAGTGTTTGTCTCTAGTAAACGTCCTTCCTCCTTCTTGAGTCCAGCTGGTGCCTGGCCAGGGGCTGGGGGGCAGGGAGCTGAATGGCGGTCAAGGGCAGAGGGAAGGGGGAAGGGGTGCAGGGAGGAGGGGCAGTCAATCCTCTGGCTCATTCCTTCAGCACCTATGCATCTTGCACCTTCTCTGCGCAGGCGCGAGGCTAATGCTAGGGCCACAGCAGTGCGCCAGGCGGGCCTGGTCGAAGGCAGAGGGGACACTGCTACCCAGAGAGGGGCGTGTGGAGCTCGGGGAGATGCAGTTAATGTTTGCAGAGCCGGGCAGTTTACATCGTTCATGAACTCCAGCCCATCCACACTCACAGGAGCCTTCAGAGAGATAGAATTAAGAAGTGCCTTGCCCTAGCCCTGTGGTCGGCAAACTGCGGTTCGCGAGCCACATGTGGCTCTTTGGCCCCTGGAGTGTGGCTCTTCCACAAAATACCACGGCCTGGGAGAGTCTATTTTGAAGAAGTGGCATTAGAAGAAGAAGTTTAAGTTTGAAGAATTTGGCTCTCAAAAGAAATTTTCATCGTTGTACTGTTGATATTTGGCTCTGTTGACTAATGAGTTTGCCGACCACTGCCCTAGCCAGTGTGGCTCAGTGTATAGATTGTCAGCCTGTGGACTGAAGGGTCCCAGCTTTGATTCTGGTCAAAGGCACATTCCTGGTTTGCAGGCTCAATTCTTAGCGTGCTGGAGGCAGGTGTGCAGGAGACAGCTGATCAATGATTCTCTCTCATCGATATTTCTCTCTCCCTCTTCCTTCCTCTCTGAAATCAATAAAAATATACTCTAAAAAACATATGTTCATCTTGCCTGCCATATGTCTAACACAATCATTAAACCACTTTTTTAAAAAAGTTTTTTTTAAAAAAATCAATGAGCAGAAGCCGGTTTGGCTCAGCGGTAGAGCGTCGGTCTGCGGACTGAAGGGTCCCAGGTTCAATTCCGGTCAAGGGCATGTACATTGGTTGCGGGCACATCCCCGGTAGGGGGTGTGCAGGAGGCAGCTGGTCGATGTTTCTCTCTCATCAATGTTTCTAGCTCTCTATCTCTTTCTCCCTTCCTCTCTGTAAAAAATCAATAAAATATATTTTAAAAATCAATGAAAAAATATCCTCAAATGAGGATTTAAAAAAAAATTTTTTTAAAGTGCCCTGACCTGGCCAGTGTAGCTCAGCAGTTGGGCGTCAACCTATGAACCAGAAAGTCTAGGTTTGATTCCTGGCCAGGGCACCTCCCCAGCAGGGGTGTATAGGAGGCAGTCGATCAATGATTCTCTCTCATCACTGATGTATCTATGGCTCTCTCCTCCCTTCCTTTCTGAAACCTATAAAAATGTAGTTTTCAAAGAGAAGTGCCTTGTACAGATCAGGAGGCGGAGTCTAGTGACTGCGTCGGTCTGAACTCAAATCGCAGGCTCTGTACTTCCCCTTCCGCAGCGGCCACTAACCGGGCAGGGAGCTGCTCACACCTGCTCTCCTGCTGGTCTCGTGCCTGGGCTGAGAGGCTGAGTGGGCAGCTGAGAGGGGCTGCTTCCCACGGGGGCAGCTCTCTGCCCTCAGCCCAAGGTGCCCGTGTGGTGGCCAGGTGCCTCCGCCACACCCAGGGAAGACCAGCCGGCCAACCAGTCCCCAGTTCCCCCTCCCAAGGCTTCCCCGTCCTCATCGGCCCTCCCTTCCCTTCCGCTCGTGGCCCTTGCAGAGCAGGGTCTGGCTCGGCCAGCGGGACCTCCCAGCGGTGGCTCAGTCCTCCCTCTCGGGTCAGTTCTGAAGGAATCAGGCTTGGAGTCCCACGGAGCAGGCAAGGCAGCGTTAAACAGAGTTCCTGCCCCTCACCAACCCACAGCGCCCCCCCACCCCCGCCCATGCTCTCATCGGGGACAGATCACACTCTGGGTGGGGCTGTTCTGGGTTGAGCATCAGAATAAGACACTCTACCCCAACTCTAGGAATGAGTCATTCACCTTTTCCAGAGAAAGTCTGACTTCGGGGGTGGGTGTAGGCGGTGGTGGGCCAGTGTTGACTCGTTATCCTCGGGTGAAGATAATCATCCACTGCCCTCCCTGCCCCAAAGGAGTGGACACACACGGCCCCCGAGGCCAGCCCTCCTCTGCTCACCCACCCCACCCCCAGCCCAGGCCAGACAGAGACTCGGACAGCACTTACAAAGGGATCCGAGGGACCTTTATTTACAAGTGAGCTGACGTGAACGTCCCTCGTGTGTTGCCAAACGTTTAAATGTACACATACATACATATGTACACTCTGCACATATGTACATTCCCCCCTCTGGGAGGGGGCGGGAGGGGGCGGGAGGGGGCGGGGGGGAGGGGACAGGGAGACCGCTCTGAGCTGAGCTGAGGGGCCAGGCTGCTCACGCTCGTCAGGAACGGGCAGCGCGGAGAGGAAATGATGAAAGAGATGGGGCATCTGAACAGCCAGAAGTAGGGGAGAGGGGAGGGATCTGGAAGCTAGCAAAGGGCTCTTACATCATGTGGATGTGAGCAATGATGCCTCATCTTTCCTCACTGTCTCCTTTCGAGGCGCCTGGGGCTAGACCCTCCCTGCGGGGCCCCCGGGGCCACTCGAAGGCCCTCAGAGGGCAGCAATGGCCTTGGCAGCCACCTGGCGGCCCAGGGGCAGGCTGAGGTCCGTGATGGCCAGGACCACCTTGGGGCTGGACATGGCTGACACCTTCACCAGTTCTGATACCTGCCACAGACAGACAGACAGACAGACAATTGCTTTCTGGGGCTACCTCGTAGTAGGGCCCCCTGCCCCCTCGGAGGGCTCGCCACTGAACCCCAACCTCTGCAAAGCCTCGTCGGCCAGCCGGGCGAGCTCACCGTGGTGAAGGGCATGAACTGCAGGATGCTGCCGCGGCTGCCCTGCTCCAGGCAGGCCACGCACTCCTCCATGAACCACTGCACGAACTGCGTGTGCGGGCCGGCGGTCCGTGAGCCCAGGATGGAGGAGATGAGCAGGAACAGGTTGGCTGTGAGGGCGGGGAGGGTGCGAGGACCCCGTGAGAAGGGTCGGGGAGGGGGCTAGACTGGGAGGAGGTGGCACTGAGAAGGGAAGGGAGAGCAGTGCTGAGTGTCCCCCCAGATGGGGGTGTCATGAAGAGGAGATGTAAAGGGAAACTGGGGGTGAGTCAGAAGAGGCACAACCTGGGAGCCGGGGGGAGACGGAGAGCTGGCAGGTAGGGGAGAAGGATGGAGGCAGGGGGCTGACAGAGCAGACAGGGGAACCAAGAGGCCCTCTTCCAGCTGACGGGCCTGAACCCCGTTGCGGAGTGGGGGGGGGAGGACTCACCCAGGACTCGGTTCAGGGGGTCTCTCATGTTCACTGTGTGGAGCTGGGAGGCTGACAAGGAGCTGCTCATGGACCGGTCGGCTGTGGGGCCAACGGAGAGCGCTCAGGACAAAGCCCTCTGCCGGGGAAGCCTCACCATCGGGCGTGGAGGGCCCCGCAGCGTCCTTGGGTCCAGGGTCACCGAGGGGCCCCCAAAACAGAGTTGCCCAGAGGAGAGGAGAGAGAGAACTAACACTGGCCACACGCCAGGCGCCAGGCGCCTCTGTGGCCGCACAGACTCAGCCGCCGCAGCCTCGCCCCTCCGCTTTCCAGACGAAGAACCGAGATCAGAGACGCTAAGTGACTAGTCAAAGGCCAGAGGGTTTGCAGGCGGCAGAGCGGCATCTACCTGCTGCTCAGGCAGAGGTGGTTCCCTGGTCCCTAGAAAGCCTCAGAGAAATCTCTAGAAGCAGCACAATGTGAGAGCCATCAGAGCCCTGGGTGCGGAGAGCGAGGGGAGCCGGTGGGGGAGGCTGCTCTTCGGCAGGAAGAGTGGGGAGCAGCCCCGAGCCCCAGCCCGGCCCGGCCCGGCCTGTTCCAGCCTCAGGGCCCGTTTCAGGGGAAGGAAGCTCAGAGCTGGTGAGTCAGCAGCACAGACTGTGCCCGGGCAGTGGGCTCCCTTGGTAGCTGGTGGGAAGGAAGGGGCGGGGAAGGGACAACCCTGTGCCCTGGGCCTGGACCGGGCAGGAGGGCCTCCACCTGGCGGGAGGGACCGCAGCCCCGGTCTCTCTGGGGGTGGGAAACAGCAGCCAGGGGACAAAATGGGACAGACTCCTGCCGCCCTCTGACTGCCAGCAAAGATGCCTGCGCTGGGGCCTCGCACAGCACAGCCGGAGGCCCGGTGCCGGGAAAGGAGCCGCCGCCCAGCCCTCACCGGGACTGGAAAGGATGTTGGCATCCTCCTCATTGGAGCTCAGGAGGCGCATCAGCTTCGAGGGCTGCATGTCATCCAGGGGGAAGAGGCTGATGTAGTCCTGGGGGTGGGAGCTCACTGTTAGGGAAGGCCGAGTCCCCGGGCCTCAGCCAGCACCTGCAGAGGGGCTCCCCCCAGCCCTCCGATCCCAATGAGACCGGCTCGGTCGTCCCCGCGGCCACGTGGCCGCCAGTCCCCCCGGAGTCAGGGAGCAGCCTGGCTGCTCGGCCTGGGAGGGGCCTCCCGCCGGAAGAGGCTCAGGAAACGTCTGCTCCACGAACGCGGGAATGGTGGGCGGAGGGACCCTACCTCGATGTCTTCACGGTGCCTCTTCTTTTGGTGGGAAGACGCCTGGCCCTTGTGGGAGGAGTAGGAGCTCAGGGCACACCAGACGGCGAGCCTGGCAGAGGGTTCCAGGAAGAGAAGCAAACTTAGAGGGACCCCTAATCACCTCCAGCTCTACGGGGGGCTCTGCGCCCTCGGTGATCAGGCCCCAACCGACACGGCCTCCCACAGCCCCACTTCCTGGGTGACCCCGGGTAAGGCCGCCTGACCCGGGGCTACGGGGACCGGAAGCTCTGCAGACGCCTACTTGGCGAGCGCGGTGCCGGGGGGGTCCATGAGGCTGTGCCACTTGGAGGAGTCGGTGAGCAGGCCGGGCAGGATGTGGCCCAGCAGGACCAGGGTCACCTGCTGCATGTCCAGGTAGAAGATGGAGTAGAGCAGCTCCACCGCCCGCAGCGTGTGCTCCTTCCGCGTCTCCTTCAGCAGCTCCTGCGTGGGCAGGTGAGGGGGCTCTGGGAGCTGAGGACTCTTATCAGGGAGCCCCAGCAGCGGCTCCATCCCTCCCTCTGCCCTGCAGCTCCCCAGGTGAGGACCAGCCTCTCTTCTTCTTCTTCTTCTTCTTTTTTTTTTTAAATATATTTTATTGATTTTTTTACAGAGAGGAAGGGAGAGAGATAGAGAGCTAGAAACGTCGATAAGAGAGTAACATCGACCAGCTGCCTCTTGCACACCCCCTACCGGAGATGTGCCCGCAACCTAGGTACATGCCCTTGACCGGAATCGAACCTGGGACCTTTCAGTCCACAGACCGACGCTCTATCCATTGAGCCACACCGGTTTCGGCCAGCCTCTCTTCTAAGGGAGCTTCTCCCAGTCCTTAAACACCTCTGAGAGGCCCAGGTTAGTGTTGGGAAGTCAGAGGATGAGAACACGTCAGGCATGTCCTCAGGTGTCTCCTGGAGTCTGAGGACACCCGCTCCCCAGCAGCTCGTGTGTCTGCCCCGCCTCCCACCCCAAGTACCTTAATCAGGTTGTTGCAGAACCAGTAGACGCCTCCCATGTGCAGCAAGGTGTCGAAGATGTGGATGGAGCGGCTGTCCACCCAGCCCTTCTCCAGCACCTTGGCGAATCTGTCTGTCAGCACCTCCTTGATAGGCCGTTTCGGGGGCAGCAGGTTCCAGTAGGGCATCGTGTCCATGCCTGTGGACGGGAACTTGATCTGCGTGGCCGTCTGCTGCAGCACGTCAGCACACATGTGCTCCAGGATCGAGCTCATGATCACCACCCTGGGGGAGGAGGGGGGGAATCTGAGGCTCGGGCAACACGGGTTCAAGAGCTGCGGTGGGGAGGGCAAAGGAGGAAACTCCCAGGCCAGACATTTCCAAGGAGTTGGGTTACGGAAACATTCCTGGGTAATTAACCCCGTTCTGTGCTAAGGGAGGAGACAAGAGGAAGTTGGAAACCCCTAGCAGACCTGACCTGGCAGGACTCTCTGCTGGGCACAAAGCCGATGGGGGCGGGGGCGCTTTCCTTTCCCAGGTTATCTCGCAATGGATTTGTATTTTCTCTCTCCAACGCCCCCACCCGCAGGCCTGGCCTCCAATGCCCTGGCCTAAGTGAGAACAATCACTTCCCTCTGGCTGAGTGCTTGAGGGGGGTCCCCCCCCAGCCTGGGCCTCCAACCAATGCAAACTGCCAGGACCGGGGCCCAAGGCTGCCCCGTGGGACCCTCTTCCCGGCCCTTGGTAGCCAGATTTGAGCGTATATCCAGGAATTTTCTCGGGGCAAATTTCAGTGCATATCCAGGAATTTTATCGTGAAGACTCTGAACGCAGACTGGGCCTGAGATTAGCTGTTCCTGGAACGCCGGTGGCTCTGGGAAAGTCCCTGGGACTGTCAGAGCCACTGCTTCGAGCATGACGAAGCCACAGACTTCCCACTTTCCTCACAGAGTCAGGGGCTTGGAGTGGAGAGCACACACTCATTACTGTGGAGGGAGGACGGTGAGGGAAGGCAAGGAAGAGGCCAGGGGAAGCAGGTGCGATTTCAGAGGCCTCCCAGCCCCGTTTCAGCCCGGTGTCCATTCTCCCTCAGAAGGCATCCTGATGGCCACCTTGAGCCTCACCACTCACAACGACCACCTGGTTCGGGCTCAGGTCACAGCAGCGCCGCTCACACAGCCCAGAGGGGATCGACACCGACTAATAAACGGATAGGCAACCGTGGGATGTATATACAAACAGTGGGATATTATTCAGCCTTAAAAAGAAGGGCATGCTCAGATGCTCTACAATGTGGACGAACCTTGGGGACACTGTGCTAAGTGAGATACGCCAGTCACAAAATGACAAATACTGTTGGATTCCACTTACGGGGTTATCTAAAGCAGTCACATCCACAGGGAGAGAACGCAGAATGGTGGTTACGAAAAGCCGGGGTCGGAAGAGGGTGAGTGCTTAATGGGCACGAGTTTCGGATTCGCAGATGGAAATGCTGGAGGTCTGATTTACAACAACGTGAATACACAGCTCTGGCTGGTTTCACTCAGTGATTAGTGTCAGCCCTCAGACCAAAGGGTCTTAGGTTTGATTCCTGGTCAAGGGCAAGTACCTGGTTTGCAGGTTCGATCCCCCAGCCCCAGTTGAGGTGCATACGGGAGGCAACCAATCAATGTGTCTCTTTCATATCCATGTCTCCCCTCTCCCCCTCTCTCCACTTTCTCCCTTCCACTCTCTAAAATTCAATGGGAAAAAATATTCTCAGATGAGGAATAACAAACAAACAAAAATAATCTAATAAATGAATAGCATATATATGAATACACACACACACACACACACACATATTAACACTATTGAACTCTACATTTAAAAATGGCTAAAATGAATGGGTAAGGTATGTACACATATAATATAAAAGGCTAAAATGGGCCCTGGCCGGGTACGCCAATGTTGTGGGATCAATCCCCGGTCAGGGCCCATATAAAGAAGCAACCAGCAAATGCATAAGTAAGTGAAGCAACAAATTGATGCTTCTCTTTCTCTCCCTTTCTTTCTCCAAAATCAATCAATCAATAAAAATGGTTGAGATGGTAGATTTCACAGTATGTATTTTTTTACCACAAAAAAAAAAAAAAAAAAAAAAAAGCCTATTGGACAGGTGAATGGACCAGCACCACTGAACTCAACATGGCTGACGTCACCAGGGAGGTTCTGGAAGCCCAAGGAAAAGCCAAGACAGAGAAGGGTCACAGAAGACAGCCGGTGTGGGTGAGGCGAGTGGGCAGGGCCACGGCCTGTGAATCTACAGATGGACTCACAGTTTCTAGACAGTAACGCAGCTAAGATAATGGCATTGTTCCTGGGCAAGCTAGTTCTCCAGAACTTAACCTCCTTGAGGGCAGGAGCATCGGTGGTTGGGGTCTGTATTTCTGGGCACAGCAGGTGCCAGATAAGACAGGAAACTGTTGCTGAGTCAGTGAGTGAATAGGTGAAGAGGAATGTGAGCGAGCAAGGAAGTGAGTGAGCCGGTGAGCGGCATGTCTGGGAAGTTCAGAGGGGTTAGATCTCGGCTCCTCGCCACAGACCTGCAGCGTTCCCGGAGGGAGGGGCGGGCTGACCTCTCGTTGTAGAACTGCAGGGTGTTCTCGCTGTACAGCGGCCCCGCCAGCTGGCGGATCATCTGCAGCGACTTCTCCCGCTCATCCAGGCCCAGCATCCGCACGTGGGCCACGAGCCAAGCCACGGCGCACACGGCCAGACTGCACACCTTCCCCTTGATGTTGTCTGTGATTTTCTGAGAGAGGGGAGAGTGTGACCGGGGCCACTGCCTCCCCTTCCCCGCCCCTCACTCTCCGCAGCTCCTGCGGGCGGCTGAGTGCAGAGCGGAGCCCTGGCCACATTCCACACCACTTTCCACCACAGCTTTGACTTCCTGGTCACCTGGGTGGAGGGAGTGGCCAGGACTATGATTACAAGAAAGATCAGCATCCACACAGGAGCTCCTGGCTTAAGGGTCCGTCTCCTTGTTCTTATGAAATATAACCATCTACCAAGGACTGGCTCTGTGTCCCAGGGAAGAGAGAAGGCTGCTGGAAAGGGAGGGTGGGGGGGGTCCCTACCTGGATGGACTCGAAGGCCAGCACCCCATTCTCCCAGGCGTTGAGGATTTCCAAGATGGCGGCTGAAATGCTGAGACAGGCCTCGTGCCAATTCATCTGCCTGCAGGGTGGGGAGAGGGGAGGAGAATCACCAAGGAAACGAGGGTGGGCTGAGGGAGAGGGACCGGCCCCGCCCGCCGCCCCTGGGAGTGGGCGCCCAGGCCACTGACACCAGCTTCATCTCGGAGGAGTTGTTGAGCAGGGCCACCAGGGACTCCACTTTGGTGGAGTCCGGCCGGAAGCAGGGGTGGTCAGGATTCAGGATTTTGCCCTCCTCGGGCATGCAGGTCTGTATCCAGGTCTCAAAGAAGGGCACCTCTGCCCCGGTGCTCGACTCAGACAGGATCACCTGGGAAAGGAGGCGAGTCACGGGCCAGCAGAGTGGGGAGCACATGCCCTGGGGTTCCCTGCTCCCATGTGTCCCCTGGAGAACTGGGGACAAAGCAGCTACAGGGGAAAGATGAGGGCTATGCTGCCACCTAGTGGTCAGGAATGCAGCTCTGAAGGATTTGGGATGTGACCAGGAGGGCATGTTAACTTCTATTACATTCTCTGGGTGGATGCCTGATTTCTGCACCAAGAACCTGACAGGGGTGGGGCAGGAGGTGAGGGGAGAGATGCTGGCTGTTTCCTTCCCTCTTGCCTCACCCATTCAGTGCCCCTAATCCTGCCCGCTCTCCTCTCCCTCACCTCAGAGCCGTAGGTCTGGGCCACGTGGCACAGCATGAGGAAGGAGATGTCGAAGAGCAAGGCGCGCACGGAGGCCGACTTGGCTATGAAGGAGGAGAAGGCTGACCCAATGCTCTTGTCTGGGGCAGGAGGGGGGCAGGATTCGCCTCAAGGAAGGTCAGAGCCAGTGTCTCCTTCAAAGCTCTGAGGCTCAGAATCCTTTTCTTGAGTCTCAATTGGAACATCATTCCTTCCTTGGAATCAGACTCCCGATTCCCTCTTTCCCCCCCAACACCCAACCGAATCCTAAGGGGGTGGTGGTAGGAGCACCCTTTCCCAGCATCCCTCTCTCCAGCCTCCCCCGGGCTTCATGAGCCATCACTCAGGGGAAGAGCCCCCCAGGATCCACAAGGCATCCTCTTCCCTCCTGAGCCCCCACACCCGCCTCTCGGGCCGGGGATGCGCAGAGTGACTCACTGCTTTCCTCACTGCCGTGTGTCGTGAATTCGTTCAAACTGCGGGGGGAACGGAGAGAGGCCGCATCAACCAGGGCAAGGGCGGAGTGAGAGCTGGGGATGGCGGACCACACCCAGCCCCAGAGGCACTCGCTGGTCCCAAGTACAGGTTAACCTTAAAGTGAACACCACTGCTACCGAAGAGGGAACGTTGTTTTTAAAGGTTCCCAAAACCTCGAGAACGGCTCACTGGATAGAACCATTTCTATAGATCAAAGTCCAGGTGAACAAGAATACGTCCACAGACCAGGAGAACCCTGGTCAGCGCCGGGGCACACACAGAACCTCTCTGGGCCACCATCCACCGCCTCGTCCCCTCCTGGGACTCCTCCAATTCACCCTCAGCCGAAGGGCAAGGAGGCTCCATGTCCGAAGAAGTGGCCCTTCCCCCGGGGCCGCCAGCTGGGAGGCTCTGCCTTGGCCTGAGCATCCTGGGAGACCCAGACCCCAGGCCCCGCCCCATCCCGCTCCTTCTTACGTCAGACAAGCCTCCCGGCCCGGTCACAGCTCGGCCGTCCTTACTTGATGAATTTCCGGGCGAAGGACTTAAGCTTTCCCGTGGCAGCAGCCGCAGCCAGCAACAAGTCCAGGCTCTTCCCGGACAGCATGTGGCCCAGCACCCCCAGCAGCCCCTCCGGGGACTTGGAGTGGTCTGCATCCATCGTCTGGGGACACGACAGGAAATCAAGTCCTGAAGAACACTGAAGACCCCCCCAGATACAGCCTGGCCACAGTCTCTCTCTCCGCATGTCTCCAGTCAACGGTACACCAGGACCTGCAACTTAACCTACGGCTTTCTGACTCCAATCTGGAGAACAGTTTCTAAAATCTTACCCTTAGCCGACTGGTTTGGCTCAGTGGATAGAGCATCGGCCTGCGGGCTGAAAGGTCCCAGGTTCGATTCCGGTCAAGGGCATGTACCTTGGTTTTGGGCACATCCTCAGTGGGAGGTGTGCAGGAGGCAGCTGATTGATGTTTCTCTCTCATCCATGTTTCTAACTCTCTATTTCTCTCCCTTCCTCCAAGAAAATCAATAAAATAATTTTTTTTTAAAAATCTTATCCTTGCTCTCCAAAACCATCCCTCACAACGAAACTGGGACAAGGGAGATAGGACCGGGGCGGTGAGGTCCTTACTGTGAAATTCTCCATTGTTTCTGCACAAGACGAGCTACGTGAAGCACCTACCACAGCGCCTGGCTACAGTGATGCTCAACAAAGGTGAGTTCCAGTGGCAGCCTCCCCTGCGCTCCCCCTTTCTCTACTTCCCAAGTAACTGAGCACAAAAGCCAGAAGAGAGAGAGAGGTCTATGGCCTCTGAGTATTTATCCGGAAGTAGAGGGAAAGCTGGAAAGACGGAAGAGTCGGCCCTGGTGGCGAGGGCCGGGCGCACCCACCTTGAGGATGTTGGTCACAGTGGGCTCCGCGCGGAGGATCAGCCCGGGGTTGGGCTGGATGTTGGCGTTTTCTCCCGATTTCTGCTGGGGGGCGTGCTCCCGGTCTGCGGCGCTGTGGCCAGTAGGCCCAGAGAGGAGAGGAGGAACAGAGGTCAGTTCCTGACGTGCTCCGTCCAGCCCGGAGCAGAGGCCCAGAGTCAGGGGAAGCACAGGAGAACCTGTGGTGCCATGGTGACACTGAGGAAAGCCTATCCAATATGCGATCGCTTCCCTCGGTCCATTCAAGATTGGAGGAAGGTTGAGGATTTTGACTTTGACCATGAAGGAGGCTGAGAGTCAAGGCACAGAACCTCATGGGGAAAAAACCTTAGTCTGCAGAGACCAGCATCTCCTGGCCTCAGGCCCCCGCACCCCACACTAGGGGAGCCACTAGTGAACAGGAGGGGAAAGGCACCCGGAGCCAATCTGGACAGGAGAGAAGCCGGGCGAGGGGTGCCTGGACCGGCCCGAGGGAGCGCACACTCACCGCTTGGCCATGAGGCTGTTCACACTGGCCTCAGACAGAAGCCCCTGCTTCCGACTCTCCTGCAGGAGGAAGTCTGTGAAGTCACAGCTGTGAGGGAGACAGAGGGTGAGGGGAGCGGCCCAGAGCAGGCATTCCCCAGGGGCAGGAGCAAGGGTCCCAGCCCGGGTCCCCCTCCCTCAGGAGGAAGAACGTTTGGAGGGCCGGAGGGAGGGAGAGGGGAGAGGGGCTCCTGCCCCTGCCTGGAGGGTGAACTGTGAGGCGTGTGTGGCCGGAAGAGCAGTGGGAGGGCCCAGGACACTGCCCAGTCGAGGGCAGGGGAGTCGTACTTGCAGCGCTGGTCGGCTTTGTCCAGCAAGGGTGTGAGCTTCAGCAGGAACTCAAAGGCACAATTGACATCTTCGGTAAAGTCCTAGGGAGCCAGAAATGCCATCTGCCTTCCGTGTCTTCTTCCCCACCCACAGCCTGCGTTGCAGGCTCACTAGGACACTGGATATAAAGCCTACAAGTCGGCCGTGCCTACCCACTGGCTTCCAGTGACAATGGGGCGGGAGCGGTATTTGGGGTCCTGATCATCTCGGGCAGCCCTGCCTCCTGAGCAGCCTGGCTGCCTTCTCTCGGAGCCTGGGTGCATGTGTAGTGCACACAGATGCTCAGGACACACACACTCTCCTTCCCACAGGAACAAGGACACGCGCCTGCCCGGTTAAGTGACCTGTCCTTGCTCTTGCTTCTCCAGGGCAGAGACAAGGATCTACTGCTCCTATGTTCCCTCCGTTTCATCTCTTCTACTCACCTTGTCCCCATGAGAGTATTTCTTCAACTTCACCAAAACCTGTGGGATCTAGAGGGGGGGCAGGGGAAACAGGAAGCACAAGTTCTTCTCTTCCACCCAGGACTGAAGGCCCCCCTCCGGCCCCTGCTCTGGGCAGAGACAGGAACGCCCCTGCCCTGAAGGGGAGAGCATTCTAGAAGCCACATCAGAAAGCAATGGTACCCACGTGCCCGGTGCCCTCGGCCTACGGGACACAGGGACCCTTCGTGGGCTGGCCCAACGAGGAGATGCCACAAGCAAAAGTAAGTCCCGCTTCAAGGACCGCGGCCTACTTCCCTGGCTCCGTGACCGCCCTGCAGGAGTCTGGCTGAAGCCGGAGCTGAGGGCACCTGTGTGCTGAGAAACAGCAGGAGCCGGCCAGCGAGCTAAGCGTGCCCTGGGACTCCCAGAGGAAAGAATCGATGGCACTAGTGCCGGGGACCTGGCAGGCTGGGCAGGACGCCAGCGGAGACACGGGGCAAAGGCCCAGGAGGCGCTGCTTTTCCCAGAACCGTCCCTAGACTGGCCTCCTGCTGCCCGTGTCCGGTACCTTGAGGAAGGTAAATGCCGTCCACTTGAGCTCCTCCGTCCCCTCGGGAGACTCGATGAGCCCCACGAGGCAGGCTTTCCAGATCTCCAGGACAAAGAGCGGGGTGGGGATGTGCTGCGGGAAGATCCAAGGGCAAGGCATCAGAGGGGCCCCATCCCCCTTCACCTCTGCAGGCCCCGGGGATCAGGCTGGGTCACAGACCGGCAAACACAGGGACCTGAGAGCCAGGGACGTGAGGTGAGATGGCAGAGCCGTACAAGACAGGGATTCCCTTTCCACCACGAACAGGAGAAACCCCATGTCCCCCAGAAGGACCAGAGGACCCTCCCTCTGGCACGCAAACGGTCGCCGCCAGGGGGGCAGAGAAGCACTGCGGCCGCCCACCTGCATGCGCTTCACCATCATCAGCTGCTCCACCAGCGGCTGCGTCTCGCCCGTCAGGTTCATCGTGCCCTCCAGCAGGACCAGCGCGTGGACCGTGGGGAAGCCAGTTTTGTTCGGCTGCTCGGAGTGCACGGACAGCATCGTGGGGATGCTGAGGACAGACACACAGGGGAGGTATCTGGTGAGCTGGGAAGCGATGGAGAGCAGGGCAGAGCAAAAAGGTTGAGGCCAGCCGAAACCGGTTTGGCTCAGTGGTAGAGCGTCGGTCTGCGGACTGAAAGGTCCCAGGTTCGATTCCGGTCAAGGGCATGTACATTGGTTGCGGGCACATCCCCGGTAGGGGGTGTGCAAGAGGCAGCTGGTCGATGTTTCTCTCTCATCAATGTTTCTAGCTCTCTATCCTTCTCCCTTCCTCTCTGTAAAAAATTAATAAAATATATTTAAAAAAAAAGGTTGGGGCCAGGCGCCACACGACCCACCCCCACCCAAGGCCTTTCCCCTCTCCCTTCACCGCCATCGGCCTGGGAGCTGGTACCTCCTAATGAGTGTGCCGCACTGCTCGGCCTGGCTCCGCAGCTGGGCGTTGCTGAGATTGGCCAGGATCTCCCCAAGCTTCAAGAGAGAATGTTCGATAGCTGTCCAGGAGGCTGGTGGAGAAAGGGAAATGCAGGAACATGATGGGAAACAGAGGAAGAGGGAGAGAGTAGCCCCAAACTCCTCAACGTTGGCACCCCCTGGGCCCACAAAACCAAGCAAGGAGGCTTCCCCTGTGGGTGACATGGAGGCTGGGGGCCTGGGGGCAGCATGTGCTGTTTCTAGAAGGAGGCTGTATACCACAGTGAAGCCCCTAGAAGCCAAACCCAGAAGCCTGACTGGTAGGGGTGCGTACAGCTGAGTGTAGACAGGCGGTGGCAGAGGCAGGGGTGGGGCCGGGGAGGGGAGTCCAGAGACTGGAACGGGGAGGTGGCCACAGGTCACTCCAGGAGTGTGCCAGCCTTGCAAACAGCCAACACTCTCCAACTCAGTCAAGCTGGACTCCTCCACCACCTTCCGTGTCCTCCACCCCGTCTGGGCCTTGGCTCCAGCTGTCCTCCCTTCGGAAATGCCCCTCCCACTCATCACCTTGCCGGCTCTCACTAGCCTTCAAGCCTCTGGTCCAGCCCCGGCTGCTTTAACAACTGACCCAACTGGTCCAACCCACTGATCGCTCCTCAGTGCCTGAATTCATGGTCTATACTGCATGGTTTAGCACTTAATTACAAGTCACTTATTCTAGTTACAATTCCAGAGGGTCAAATGATGAGGAATGGCATGGCACCAACAAGCATGGGGGAGGTGAGACCTGAGGCCCATGAAGTTAAATATTCATTCATTTTACAGCTAATAAACATTTGTCAAGTGCTCAAGAGAGGTAAGGAACTGTCAGCATAGCCCATTTTTACATCGTGGTCGCCTTCCTGTACTTTACCCAGGCAATAAAACATGTTTTGGAAAGTCATAAATATACTAATCCTACAACAAGCCCTTCACCAGGCCGTGAAGACCCTGAGGTGCCCTATCCTAGCATTTCTACTGTTGGAGAAATACAGATCCTCCGTGGTCCCAACCGCAGCAAGACTGCGGCCTCCGAGCCCCACGTCCGGACTATCAGAACCCTCCCTCCCACCACGTGACCTGTCTGATCGCAGACTCTGGAGAGTTCCAAAGTTTAACATGTGCACTGGAGTCGAGAGGTGTATGGCCCAGTAGGCCTGGCAGCAGACACGCATCATGTCTAAAGGACGTGTTGGGCAATGCTCAAACACAGCCATCTGTTTTTCAGATGATCAGTAACATGGAGACAAACACAGGATGGGTCATGTGCTTGCCTTGTCCTCTAATTTTTTCCAAGTGCACTGCACACTAGTCTTGCTCCCCACTGGCATGTACACTGGTTGAAGGCAGGGACCCTGCCACATGCTCCTTCAGCAGCCCCCAGCCCTCCCGCCCCCAGCACCTGGCAGAGTGCTGGGCACACAATAAGGCTCAGTAAATACCTGTTGGTTGATTGGCTCGGGTGCCACCCTGCCCAAGTCCCTGGGATGTATGCAATGCTTATGGGGAGAAAAAAAAGGAAGTGGGATGATTTCAGATCCTCCTGGAAAAAAGTGGGGTGCCATCCTGCCTCTCCCCTCTCAATTACAGAACCAGATATGGGAGCAGTGGCAGGTGGGGCTCAGGGGGACGAGGGGACATACAGGCCTCCTCGAGTTTGGCGATGTGGAGCAGGGCCCGGTTCTTGGTGCTGCCGAGGGTCTTCTCCAGGCGCTGCAGGCACATGGCAAGCTGCTTCTCCCCCGCAGCTGGAGCGCCAGCCTCCAGCCTCTCCTGGAGCCGCTCGGCAGAGGCTGCAGTGCAGCGCAGCAGCCAGTGGAGGGCGCTGAGAAGAGCCCGGCACAGCCCGATGCACTCCTCGGCTTTGCCATGACAGCTAAGGGAAAGGATGCAAAATCTGTCTCTGCTCCAAAGACTGAAATCTGATCCCCACTGCCTGGCACTCCCCTACCAGGGAAGAGGGTTGGGAAGCTAGCAGAGTCCTAGGAAGACACCCCTGTTGGTTTTCACTGGACAGATTTCAATTGAGCTACTCCAAATCGAGGAGAGGCATTTTTGTCCTAAGGACGAAGGAGAAAAGGATGGGGATGGTGGGTGTGAGTGAGTGAGCAGGGGGGGGGGGGGGGGGGGGAGTGTGGGAAGCCACAGGGTCTCTATACTTTACACTAAGCTAGAGCTGGAGGTTGTGAGCCTCTCACCCCTATTACCTTAGTCGGTCACAAAACATGTCCATGATATCGAGCAAAGCCTGGACACACAGGTCCCGGGAAAAGTCATCAAACTGTGGAAAGAACAGATGCTACCATCAACCCCTGGTCTCCCACGAGGCAGATGGGACACTCATCTTTCTCCCACCTCAGGTTTCAGAATGGGCACCCTTTCAACACGAGATTGGCTAACTGCCAGCCCCCGCTTCCCAGGATGCTCTCCCTCCCAGGGAAAGGCAGCTATGCCAGCCAGAGGCATCGTGGGCTGCCTGTCCAGCCTCAGTGGCCACATGATCAGGGCATTCGAGGAGGTGGGGCCCCCTCCGTCATGACCATATCATTTCCCCTGCCCCCACCCAGCTGGTGAGTAGCTAGGATCGTACCTTACTGATAGCCGTGAGGACAGAGGAGTAAGACACCATCTGGAGGGAAAGGAGGAAGATAAAGTTCAGACAACGGGTGTTTGCAGTTGAGCAAACAAGCGCTGATACTTCAAGTTGCTGCAGCTCTTCTGAACCTCCACTCTCTCCAGAGGCCCCCCTCAACCCCCTAAATGGACAAATCACCAGGCACTGACTCCATTCTTCCCTCTATCACACTCACCGTTAATGACATCATAAGCATAAAACCATTCAGAAGATGGGTTTTCAAAGGTACCGTGTTTCACGGTCCACTATAGAGTTTGACTAACTGCCCGTGGACAGGAGAATGGTTATGTTTCTTTACTCCCACAACTTCTATCAAGAGTGACTTTGTTTGTATAAGTACAACCCGACTGGCATGGCTCAGTGGTTGAGCGTTGACCTATGAACCAGGAGGTCACGGTTTGATTCCTGGTCAGAGCACATGCTGGGGTTGTGAACTTGACTCCCAGTGGGGTGGCGTGCAGGAGGCAGCCAATCAATGAATCTCTTTCATCACTGATGTTTCTCTCTCTCTCCCTCCCTCTCTCTGAAATCAATGAAATATAATAAAAAAGAACTGGAGACAAGCACACATTTCTTGCAGTGGATGAGGTGGTAACTGCACCCTGACATAGGTATCGAATTCCACTATTCACCTCTTTCTCATTTTTCTGGAGTTATTCTCGAGGACTCCTCCAGGACACCTTCTCTGGCCCACCCCTACCTCATACCCAAAGCTGAAATCCTCCTCTGAGTCCAATAATCCCCTTGTGCCCATCACTGCACGGTTGGTGCCTGCTGTCTTCCCTCCCCCACCGTCCCACACACACACACCGAACTAGAAGTTCCTTGAGGAAAAGGATGCTTTTATTCGGTGACCCATGAACTTGTTGACAATGTCTGTAGAATGAATAAGTAAGAACACACCCTGAGATCAGCATTTCCCAAAGTACCTTCTAAACCTGCTCTGGACAACAGCGATGCCATCAGCCACATGTGGCTTTTTAAAGTTAAACAGAATTTTAAAATGTATTATCTGCTTCTCTAGAACCCAGCCTGTGGCCCAGCTGGTAGTGGGTCCTCCATAAGTTTTTATTGCTTTAGACTGATGAATTCACTTTCATCACTGATGTGTCTTTCATTCTGATATCTAAGATGTCATGTAACTAATGTTTGGGGGGAGGGGGGGAGGGAGGGAATTTACCTTAAATCAGATTTCTCTTAGTAAAACCTACTTATCACCATAAGATCAGAGATATAATTCAAAAGAAATAATTTGTCCTGAATGAAATTAAACCCTACAAAAAATCTTTTAAGTTGTCATATTCTAAAAAAAAATAATAATATAGCATGCTGATAAAATGAGTAATAGTTCAGAAAAAGTCAACATTAGCAGCACAATACACAAAATACAATGACAGAAACTGTCAAGACAATGAATTACCTGCCTCGTGGGTTTTCTTCCCTAGAAAAACAGAACTTTCCAAAGATTTAAGAGGAAAGCTAAGTCAGCCTCAATGTCCTTAGTCGGGTGAATTTTACATGCATGGCAATGCCTTTCCCGTCTTATTTCCCCATCATGTGCACAGACTGCTCTCTGTTTAGACATCTTTAATGAATATTCTTAAATGGAACAGGTGCAAAGCACGCAGAAGACTTAAATACACACCCGGTGTTTAGTGCCACTCTCAGCGGGACGCGCCGGGAAGCCAGTGCTGTGTCTGACAGTGACCAGAAAGTTGGGCGCCTGCCTGGGCAGGATGACCGTAACGTTCCAGGCGCGTGTTCTGTTTATTTATAACCAATGTCCCCATAGCAAGAGCTTGGCAGAGAACAGAACCTTGTTGGATACCAACCTGAAGGGGGAGCTGGATGTCCCCACGAGAAACGGACCCAAACTACAAGAAGAGACACCCCCAATTCTGTATGTCCTGAAGGATGCCATGAGTTGTATGTTTATATGGTCTCCAAATTCAGGATTCTGTGTAGTACATTTTTGCCAACAGTATCAATAAAGCACTCCTACTCTAGAGACCTAAAAATACTTTCCACGTGGCGAACTGTTTTAACAGCAGGATTTAACCTATTCCAGTCGTCATATATCCATCAACGCGGGAGCGCTAAATACCAGCAGCCCAAGGATGGAGACCGTCTGAGGCCCCTGCACACCTCGCCAGCCCAGACTGCTCTCTGGTCTCCTCTGCTCTTCACAGTCAGCACCCCAACTGCTCCTGAGGACCCCTACAGCACTGGACCAAAGAGCCTCTTGACTCTGAAGGAAAAATAAGTGACTAATTGTGCACAGCACTTTGGAAGTCACGAAGGTCTTCCATGTATATTTATTTCTCTCCCTGTTACTTCAGCCTCTTTATCCCTCTTGTTTTCCCCTTCAGTGTTTAAACATCTCGAGATTCTTCTATTTTTAAAGGAACTTCCCGCAGTCCTCATACTTCCAATTGTCCACCATCCTCTCGTCTGCTCTTCACAGGCATAAGAGTTCTCTATACTCACTACCTCCCCACCTCCCGGTGGCAATTCAACCCATTCCAATCACTGCTGTCCTTCCCACGGCATAATCCTCTCATTAAGCTCATCAGCAAACTCTTGTTGTTACACCCCACAGACAGCTCAGTTCTGATCTCAATGACCTCGCAGCAGCATCTCACACCAGGAAACACCTCTTCATTCTTCATTCCTCTCCTTCCTCCTGTGGCTTTTACTGACACCCTGCTCTCTCGCTTTTCTTTCCTTCTCTCCTCACTGACCCCTTCTTTCTGGGCTCCCATAAGGAATTCTTTTCCTGTGTGTGTTCCTTAAATGTGATGGGTTCCTCAGGAATGTGGCTTGGTCCCTCCCTTCCTTGCTCACTCTCCATACTCTCCAGGCCCATAGTTTCAATTACCACCTGCAGACGATGACTCCTAAATTGACAGCTCTGGTCTAGGCCTCTCCTTCTAAGTTCCAGATCTGTATGTTCAACTGCCAACTCAGTATCTCCTTTTTGATAGCCCGCAGAGACACCTTAAATGTAACAAGGCCAAAATCAAACATGCCATCTCCACCCTCATCTGCACCCCAAACCTAACAGTCCTACTCTACTCCCACTGTCTTCCTACGATCCCATCATTCACCTTACGATCCCATCATTCAGCCAGTCCTCCAAACCAGAGACCTAGACACCACCTTGGATGTTTTCCTCTCTTTCACACTTGTCCTCCAGTCAATCACCAAATCCTCTCTCAATGTCATTTCCTAACTTGTTCTTGAAGCCACCTTTTAGAAATGTTTTTATTGATTTTTAGAGAGGGAGAGAGAGAAACATCAATGGAGAGTAAAACATGGATGCACACCCTCTACAGGGGATTAAGTCTGAAGCCCAGGCATGTGCCCCAACCAGGAATCAAACTGGTAACCTCTCATTGCATGGGACGATGTCCAACCAACTGTTTTGTTTTTATTTTATTTTATTTTTTTTGTTAATCTTCACCCAAGGATATTTTTTCATTGATTTTTAGAGAGGGAAGGAGAGAGGGAGAGAGAGGGGGAAAGAGAGAGAGGGAGAGGGAGAGGGAGAGGGAGAGGGAGAGGGAGAGAGAGAGAGAGAGAGAGAGAGAGAGAGAGAGAGAGAGAGAGAGAGAGAGACATCCATTGGTTGCCTCCTACCTTCATTCTAACTGGGACCTGGGATTGAACCTGCACACCAGGTTGAACCAGGTTGAACCCATGACCAGGTTGAACCCAAGACCCTTTGGTTTTAGGGCCAATGCTCTAACAACCAGGGTTGGCACTTCCCAAGTTTATGCTAGTATCATCTCTTTCCTGAATTACTCCAATAGCTTAAATCAGGAGTTGGAAAACTATGGCTTACAACCTAAATCTGGCTTATCCACCATTTTTGTAAATAAAGTTTTATCAGAACACAAGCATGCCCACTCACTTACATATTATCTAGATCTGCTTTCAAGTTATAAAGACAGAACAGTAGTGACAGAAACTATATGGCCTGCAAAACAGGAAGTATTTACTGTCTGGTTCTTTACAGCAAAAATATTTCAGACTAAATTGTGTCCTTGCCTTCTGTCTTACCTCCTTTCAACCCATTCTTCAAATTACGATCAGAGTAATTTTTCTAAAGTTAATCCACAAATTCCCTAAATCCACAAAGTCAAGGAAATCCCAATCAAAATATAGTAGGATTTTAAAAAAAATGTAGGTAGATTCTAAAATTTGTCTAAAAATGAAAATGCCTGGGTCAAGAAATTTTTGAGATAAAACTATGGGAAGACTTGCCTAGCCAGGTATCAAACATACTATAAAGGTACAGTAATTAAAGCAATGAAGTACTGGTGTGAGAAAAGACTAATATATCAATAAAATAAAATAAACTAGAATGTCAAGAAATAGAATCTTGCCTATAAGAAAATTTAGGATAGGACAAATAATGATCTATTCAATAAAGGTAGTTGAGCCAACTGTTCATCTGTCTGAAAAAATATATAAATTTGGATCTCTGTTTCACACTGTAACACTTTTTTTTTTTTTTTTACTTAAACAATAGCTATTTATTTCTCACAGTTTTGGGGAGTCCAAGACTAAAGTGCTCCTGAATTTGGTGTGTGGTGAGGGCCCAATTTCTGGCTTATAGGCAGGTAATGATCTTTTCACTGTGTCCTTATGTCTGTAATACATTTTAACTGTGTCAGAGAAAAGAAACATTAAAAAAAAAAAAAAAAAAAGTGAAGTGTTGCCGAAACCAGTTTGGCTTAGTGGTAGAGCGTCCGCCTGCGGACTGAAAGGTCCCGGGTTCGATTCCGGTCAAGGGCATGTACCTGGGTTGCGGGCACATCCCCAATAGGGGGTGTGCAAGAGGCAGCTGGTTGATGATTCTCTCTCATTGATGTTTCTAACTCTCTATTCCTCTCTCTTCCTCTCTGTAAAAAATCAATAAAATATATTAAAAAAAAAAGTGAAGTGTTGGCAAAAATTAGAGAAAAATATATTTTGATCCTTAGAGCAGGCAACCACTTATGCAAGACAAAGCCACAAAGGAAAAAATAAAAAGGCTAAATCTGGCAACAGAAACATTAAAAACTTCTGCATGCTGCTCTGGCTGATTTGGCTCAGTAGACAGAGCCTTGGCCTGCGGACTGAGGGGTCCTGGGTTTGATTCTGGTCAGGACCACATGCCCAGGTTGCAGGCTCAATCCCGTGGGGGAGAGGGGCATGCAGAAGGCAGCCAATCAATGATTCTCTCTCATCATTGGTGTTTCTTTTTTTTTTTTTTTTTTAATATATTTGTATTGATTTTTTACAGAGAGAAAGAGAGAGGGATAGAGAGTTAGAAACATCGATTAGAGGTATCAATCAGCTACCTCTGGCACACCCCCTAGTGGGGATGTGCCCGCAACCACGGTACATGCCCTTGCCCGGAATCGAATCCGGGACCTTTCAGTTCGCAGGCCGACGCTCTATCCACTGAGCCAAACCGGTCCCAGCTCATCATTGGTGTTTCTATCTCTCTCTCCCTCTTCCTTCCTCTCTGAAATCAATAAAAATATTTTTTAAAAACTCTGCATGCTAAGAAAATAAAAATCACAAGTTTTAAAAAAGGTGACAGAATGGAAATTAAAAATATATACAACAGATAAGGATTACAAGATAGCTGAAACCGGTTTGGCTCAATGGATAGAGCTTCAGCCTGCAGACCGAAAAGGTCCAGGGTTCGATTCTGGTCAAGGGCATGTACTTTGGTTGCAGGCACATCCCCAGTAGAGGGTGTGCTAAAGGCAACTAATAGATGATTCTCTCTCATTGATGCTTCTGTCTATCCCTCTCTTCCTCTCTTTAAAAAAAATCAATAGAATATATTTTTTTAGCCGAAACCGGTTTGGCTCAATGGATAGAGCGTTGGCTTGGGGACTGAAGGGTCCCGGGTTCGATTCCAGTAAAGGGCATGTGCCTTGGTTGTGGGCATATCCCCAGTAGGGGGTGTGCAAGAGGCAGCTGATCCATGACTCTCATCGATGTTTCTAACTCTGTATCTCTCCCTTCCTCTCTGTACAAAATCAATAAAATATATATTTTTTAAAAAGAATATATATTTTTTTAAAAAGAATTACAAGATAGATTACTTTTTTGATATATTTTTATTGATTTCAGAGAGGAAGGGAGAGAGAGAGAGAGAAAGAGAGAGAGAGAGAGTGAGAGAGAGAGAGAAAAACATCAATGATGAGAGAAAATCACTGATTAGCTGCCTCCTCCACACCCCTTTTGGGGATCAAGCCCACAACCCAGGCATATGCCCTTGACTGGAATAGAACCTGGGACCTTTCAGTCCACAGGCCGACACTCTTATCCACTGAGTCAAACCAGCTAGGGCAAGATATATTATTTTAAAAGACACTTAAAAATCAGTAAGAATTCTTCTTGGAACGATGAAAATGTTCCAAACTGATTGTGGTGATAGTTGTATAACTCTGAATATTCTAAAAACTATTGAGATATACACTGAGTGGCCAGATTATTATGATCTCTGAATTGATAATAATCTGGCCACTCAGGCCTGGTGCATGAATTCGTGCATGGGTGGGGTTAGGCCAGCCTGGCCAGGCGGAGGGGACATGGGCAGTTGGCCAGCCGGCCTGCCTGCTGGTTGAACTCCTGGTCAAGAGGACAATTTGCATATTAGCCTTTTATTATATAGAATATATACTGAGTGGCCAGATTATTATGTGCACAGAGAACATAATAATCTAGCCACTCAGTGTATATCTTAAATTGGTAAACTATTTATATAGTACGTGATCTATAGCTCAATTAAGCTGTTACCAAAAAAATAAACCATCAAACAATAAAAAACTGGGCAAATGGTATATATAAGTAATTCACAGAAGACATGCATATAAAAAATATGCTCAACATCACAATCATGGAAAGACATAATATAACATGATGTTATTTTTTGCTTCTCTGGAAATAAAACTGTAAGATTCTATCCAGCATTGGCAAAGATGTGTGGAAATACTGTCAAACACTATGCACAGTCTTATCAATCTGCCTGGCTAACTCAACACTCATGTTTTGGTTTAAACATCGGCATCCCTCTGTTTGCTCCGAATGGATTAGGTGCCCCTTCCAGGTACTCCCACAGTACCCTGTCCCGTCCACTATCATAAGCCTATCCTGTGACTGATGGCTTATTATATCTGCATTACCCTGTAAATTCTTTGAGAGCTGGGATCAGACCTTGTTCAGAGCCATATCCCCAGGGCCTACAGCACCGTCTGGCACATACAAACAGTAGAGAATATTTATTGTAGAATAAGTTAATGAAGTACTCTTCTTTCCAAGAGAAAACTGCGGCTCAGAGAAGTGATATATTCCAACCGATTCCCCTGGACGGTGTATGAGCCCACAAGGTACCCTGCGCCTTTTATATCTTCACACCCTCGCCCTCTGGCACCGGTGGGGCAGTTTACCTGGGAGCTAATGGCATACTTCAGGTAGGACAGGATGAGAGGATTGGGGGAAGGTCCAATCATGGCCTGCTCCAGCAGTGCTTCTGCAAGGAGAATCACAAAGTAAGAAGTGTGGTCACAACGTTCCCGGGTGTAGCCCTCCCATCCTTCCTTCCTATTTCACTGGAGACCTGCTAAGTTGAGAATGTCCCACGTGGCTCCTTTGGGGAAGAATTTCTTCATGTTGATTGCCCACTGGTAGTCACTCCACCGCTCCTTCCAGGCTTGCAAAATGGCTTGCTTCAGGTTCACCACCTTCATGATTGCACTCTCAGGAAGCGGGGCCGGCGGCGGTCCGCTGGGAGGCGGGAGAAATCGAGCTAGAGAAGGCGAGAGGAGATGCTGAGGGGAAGGGCGGGGGAAGGCAGACCTGAATGAAATGGAGAAGCCACAGAAGAATGAAGGGAGACAGAGCCAAAAAGGAAACGAGGGGGAGAGGGTGGTAAGGGTCCTGCCAGGTTCTGCCCTCCTGGACCATCCTTTCTTAAGCTAACGAGGGTGTCAAAGGGGCTTTCATACAAAGAGTAAAGAGGACAGACAGCAAAGGGTTAAGCCAGTTCTGGTTGCCTAATTATTCCCTCAGCTCTGGCTCCGTCCCTCAGCAGGCACCCCCACTCCAAATCTAGACAACACCCCCATTTCCTCCATCGTCCATAACCCTGACACTCTAGTCCCCGGTTTCCTTTTCATCCACCAACGCCCCAAATGAAGCCTACCAGACCACTTAGTTCTAAGACTCAGGCACCGCCATGTTGGCACTTATCAAAGAGCTAGTTTTCTATTGGCTGGAGACAACGTACATGAGCCAATGCCGCGAGAGACAGGTCGCGCCGCGAGGTCTTCTGGGAATTGTAGTTTATCGGACTGAGCTAGCGTGGAAGATAAGTAGTCAACCCGCCTCGCTTCTCTAGAAGGACTTGTAGGAGCTAAGGCATCCCAGGGGCTCAGAGGAATGAGCGGGAAGGGCTCTCGAAGGCCGCTCGCCCTCAGACCTCGCCCAATGACGTCACTGCCTATTCGTTATTTAAATATTCTGCCACTCCTTCGTTACCCGCTAGTTAGTAGGCACAGCAAGGGGGTGGCTTTCTCTTAGCAATATGTTTCTTCTTTCCTGGCATATTTAAACAAACGTTATTATTTCCTAAACCTCTGAGTCTATTACCAGAGTTCTCCTTTCCACACTTGTGTTCCACAGGCCACATGGAGGCTTCCTCAGTTACACACATCACCACTTCACCCCCAAATCTGGCAGTCCTCCCAGAATCTCTTGGCTTTGCAGACTGCCTGAATACCAGGAGACGCAGGAGGAAAAGTAAGGAGGAAACTGAGCTTAAGGTTATCAAAAATAAGGAAAGTCTGAGAAATTGTCTTAGCCAAAGAGGGCCTTAGGAGACATGATGACTAAATGTAATTTGGTAATCTGGGTGTGACCCTGGAGCGGAAAAAGCACATTAAGAGAAAACTAAGAAATCTGAATAAGGCATGGACATTGGTAAATAATAATGTGTCAGTATTGGTTCCATTGTAATTGTAACAAATGTACCATACTAATGTAAGGCGTTAACAAAAGGGAAAATTGGGCTTGGGGTGTGTGGACACCCACTACTATCTTCAAAAATATTCCCTATATATCTAAAACTATTCTTTTTTTAAAAAAATTTATTAGCCCAACTGGTATTTCTCAGTGGTTGAGTGTCAACCTATAAACCAGGAGGTCGAGGTTCTGATTTCAGAAATGAAGGGAAAGGGAGAGAGAGACATCAACGATGAGAGAGAATCATTGATCTGCTGCCTCCTGCACACCAAACATGGGTGATTGAGCCCCAAACCCTGGCATGAGCCCAAAACCCAGGAAATCAACTCAACCTCCTAGTCCAGGTGTCGGCAACCTGCGGCTCTTTTGAAGCTTTACCGCGGCTCTGACAACTTGCAAGCTTGTGTGAAAATGAAGGTAACGTCTTACAGCCCTGATGTGCTGACACTGTGCACTGAGGTTCAGGAGCAAAAATCCCATTAACCAGGTAAATTCAATATTTTAATTAGCTATTAATTTGCAAAAATATATTTTACATTGTTAAGTGAAAAAGTCCTTTTTTTCTTCAGATTGACAGCTAACTGCATGATCCGGTATATAGCATTAAGGTAAGAAACAATATATGCACTGTTATATTTGTTTTAAATGTCGCAATGGTTTTTCGGCTCCCAGGTTTTTTTTTTTCCTTCAGAAACGGGTCCAAGTGGCTTTTTATGTCTTAAAGGTTGCAGACCCCTGTCCTAGTCCGTGGTTGGCAAACTTTGGCCCCTTGAGTGTGGCTCTTCCACAAAATACCACGGCCTGGGAGAGTCTATTTTGAAGAAGTGGTGTTAGAAGAAGTTTAAATTTAAAAAATTTGAATCATTGTACTGTTGATATTTGGCTCTGTTGACTAATGAGTTTGCCAACCACTGTCCTAGTTCATAGGTAAATACTCAACCACTGAGCCATGCCAGCTGGGCAATAAAAATATACATACATTTTTAATCCTTGCCTAATGATATTTTCCCATTGATTTTTAGGGAGAGGGGAAGAGAGGGAAAGACAGAGAGAAATGTTGATGTGAGAGAAACAGATTGACAAGGACCCTGGCCGGGGAGGAAGGCCTTGACCGAAATTGAACCTGGGACCCTTCAGCTTGTAGGCCAACGCTCTATCCACTAAGCTAAACCAGCTAGAGCTAAAAATATTTTTAAGTTTATTAAAAAATGTGCTGTCGCCGAAACTGGTTTGGCTCAGTGGTAGAGCGTCGGTCTGTGGACTGAAAGGTCCCGGGTGCGATTCCGGTCAAGGGCATGTACCTTGGTTGCGGGCACATCCCCAGTAGGGGGTGTGCAAGAGGCAACTAGTCGATGTTTCTCTCTCATTGACGTTTCTAGCTCTCTATCTCTCTCCCTTCCTCTCTGTAAAAAATTAATTAAAAAATATATATTAAAAATATAAATAAATTAAAAAAAAATAAAAAATGTGCTGTCTTGCCAAAACCAGGTTTGGCTGAGTGGATCGAGCGTCAGTCTGCAGACTGAAGGGTCCCAGGTTCGATTCTGGTCAAGGACATGTTCCTTGGTTGCGGGCACATCCCCAGTGGGGGGTGTGCAGGAGGCGGCTGATTGAAGTTTCTAACTCTCTATCCCTCTCCCTTCCTCTCTGTAAAAAAATCAATAAAATTATATATTTTTAAATGTGCTGTCTTGCTTACCCTATGGAACCATATTGTAGATAATTATGCCCATGGCTTCCATCATTGGCCCTTCTTTCCCCCTCAGTGAAAAGTCAAAAAACAAGTGCTACCTACTTCTGACTCCAATGTCTGCGTCTCCCCATACACAGCCCTCATCCTTGCTCTGTCCTGTGAACAGGTTGTCCCTAATGTTTACAACGAGGGACAAGAATGAACAGCCCAGCCGAAACCGGTTTGGCTCAGAGGTAGAGCATTGGTCTGCGAACTGAAAGGTCCCAGGTTCGATTCCAGTCAAGGGCATGTACGTTGGTTGTGGGCACATCCCCGGTAGGGGGTGTGCAAGAGGCAGCTGGTCGATGTTTCTCTCTCATGGACGTTTCTAGCTCTCTCTCTCTCTCTCCCTTCCTCTCTGTGAAAAAATCAATAAAATATATATTTTTAAAAATGAACAGCCCAGTGTCCTCCACTCCTATTTTTAGCTCTCCATTTCAGTGCCTGAGGAGCTTGACACCCTAGTCCGTGAGTCCAAGCTCCATGTATATTTCCCAACAGCCATTCTTTGGCCATCCTTTCAGCGGCAAATCAGTTCTCAGGAAAGTGAACCTGGGGAAGCAGCCACTCAGGCTAAAACGTGTGGGCCTTAAAACAAGAAAGAACAGGATCCTGGGAATCTGGAGCATAGTCTGAACAGGGAGACAAGGACTCCTGTTCCGAAGGGGAGAGTGCAGCTGGAGGAGGGCCAGATCACATCCCCCTAAGGTCATTGCTGCTTATGGCCTTCCTTTTCTACTTCTTTGTTTTTTTGTTTGTTTGTTTTTTTCTTTATAAGAATATCATCTTTTATTTTTTAAATATATTTTTATTGATTTCAGAGAGGAAGGGAGAAGGGAGAGATAGAAACATCAATGATGAGAGAGAATCATTGATGGGCTGCCTCCTGCGCGCCCCACAATGAGAATCAAGTCCATACCCTAGGCATGTGCTCTTGACAAGAATTGAATCTGGGGCCCTTCAGTCCACAGGCTGATGCTCTATCTGCTGAGCCAAACTGGCTAGGGATCCTTATGGCCTTTCTACCTCCCAACGCACCCACACACACACCCTCCATTCTGCTTCCTGCTACGCCTGCCCAAGTGACATCATTGGGGAACAACTGCCAAATATGTGTAGCCAAAGCTTCCAAAGCAGGGAGGAGGGAGAACCCAGACTCCTCACACTTGACCTCCAGACTCCCCCCCCCGGCCATACACACGCGCTTGAGATGGCCTCAAACCCTGTTTGTCTTTGCTCTCTCACTTACCTGGAATCCCTCCCAGGCCCTCACGCTACCTGTGCCTGCTGCCTTCCTCTTGTTCCTTTCCTGTTACTACAGCCAAGGAACCCCTCCTGGAGCCATGCCTGGCTCCTGCAGCTCCTGTCCCCTCCCTCGTAGCTAAAGGGCCCCTCTGGGAAAGAAGCTGTCAGCTTTGTCACTGCTCCTGATTGGACTAGTGGGTGCTGGATCCGGTCCACCTGGAAGTGGGGAGTGTTTGGGCCTGAGGATAATAATGTTCTAAGCTCCAATCACCTCCCTCTGGCGGGCAGCCTGGCAGATCCGGGTGGACGGAGTAGGGTGCTCCTTCCCACTTCACAATCGTGAGGTCACTTTTGCAGTCCGGCCGGCTGCCTTCCCTGACCCCCCACCTCTCACCAGCAGCCCTTTCTCTGGGCGTGGCAGGGTTTCACCAAGGACTGGACTCCCACGGGAACCTAAGGACTCCTTCAGTTCTGGGCAAGGGCGCTCTTCAGCTTCTCTACTTTGTCCTGTCTGCTAGTCTGTGAATATCAGAAATAGCCTTCCCATACATCACTTCTTCTCCCCACATCACCGCAGCTTCCGAGGACCCACACGCTCTCTTGCCTTCCGACTCTAAGGACAGGACTCCATGCTAACCCTCCAACAGGTGAAAGAAGAGATGCTGACATCCCCTTTGAGCGTACAAGGAAAGCCTCCCCTCAGGCAGTCCTTCTCAAAAACTCTTCTTGCTCCACTTTCCTCTGCCGTCT